GCGGAGAAATACAACTGGTGAAACGTTTGGAGCTCTGTTAACACTAGAATATCTCACTCCTCTCAGCCAATCAGATTCGAGCACCAGAAAGAATTGTTGTATAAAACATTTTAATCTGAAATGTTTTATAATAGTACTGTTAAATTATTGTAACACTTTACAATAATGTTCAATTTGTTATACATTTAGCAGCATTTCTTAATAATGATTAATGTTAATTCAATAATTAACTAATGTTAATTTATACAAGTAAAAAATGTATTAGTAGATAAATGCTGTAAAAGTATTGTTCATTGCCGTTGTTTAATAATCAATAATAAATAACTTCCAGTATGAAGAGAAACACATTTCAACACTGGGCGTCAGTCCCTGCTGATGGAGTTGTGCGGTACATAAGCCAAAAACACGTAAAAGATTTTTCCCAAAAAAAGCTCCACCTACTCCTTGTGTCTGCTTCACTTCTGCATGGAGCTTTGGTACTAGCAGGGAGGGATCATGGTTTTAGAGCCCACTCGACAGCCTATTTCCATCATTTCCCCTCCCACTTCCTCTCTCCTCCACCCTCACCCAGCATCAGTCACTCAGGGAGGGAATGGAGGGCAGACCGTAGTGTATGGTGGGGGAGCACTGTGCCTCTGCTTCTGCAGCATGCAGCAGGCCCTGTAAAGAAGGAGAGCGAGAAAGAGAGAGAGTTGCTGTTACCGCTGTCTGACATTTGCATGCCCAGTGGAAGCGAGACAGAGGAGGAGGAGTGCAGAAGTGAAAGGAAAGAATATTTTCTGAGCAGGTTTAAGAGCTTTCGGAACTGGGAAATGAGACGGTAAATATTTCCTCTTCTCATTTATAATTTTGCTGCAATTGTCTGTTTCTCTCAGTTACCTTCCTCTGCCTGCAGCTTGGCTGTGGGGATTCCAGCGTGTGTTTCTGCATGAGGAGCTGTGCAGCATAGTAAACCCCACCCCCCACCCCCACCCTCTCTGTATACATGCTCATAGCGGGGTATTGCCCCAGTTCATACATCATGTATTTTCATGCTTTTAGATGCATGGTGAAGGATGATGCAAGATCTCAAACCATTTTTCTCAAGCATTATAACAGATCAGGGGTTTCTCTTTAAATATGTATGCATTATCAAAAATATCAACACATGTGCCACCTGCTCTTTAATCTACACATTTAGATGCTTTGTTACTTTTCTGCATTTCTATGAATTTCAAGGCAGCAGGTTGGAGATTTTCTAAACTGTGAATTTAGGTTTGTTGTTTTATGGGTTGTCCTGGGTCAGACTTTTTAAACTGGGCGGCCGGCTGCCTCACTGCATCTCACCGGTTGTCATGGTTACAGCGAATCCCCCGCCTTAGCTGTGTGACACTTGCTGTTCAATAGCTATTGACTTATTTAAAAATACCCCACACCCTGTGTTCTCCTTCTCTTGCAATCCACTCAGACAGTCATGTGAATGCATGCATTATTTGCCGATTGTAAGATTAGAATATGTCATTCAGCACACTGTCTCAATTAAACGTGTCTTAGTATGCTCGCTACCTTTTAAAGTGGATGTTATTATGTGCATAGTTAGAGCAAGACCCATAATCGTCTTTGTAAATGTACATCATTAGTATTGCGTTGTGTATTCCCTTTGGAAATGTAAATCTTAATGTAAAGTCCTCTGTCTTTGTCTTAATTAAGTGGCCCTTTGCTACAGGACATTTGCAAGAGTTATCATCCAAAGAAGAGCTTCCTAATACATGAAGCTATAGTGTATATTCAAAGTCAGTCAGGATGTTCTCTATGCCAAACCAAGTCTTGAGTCTCAGCCAGATTCATCACTGTTTCTTTTTTAGGATGGTGGGGGAAACAGGCTTAAATGACGGTACTCTAATACCCAGCTAACAAGCCATCCTGAGCTGCCTCAAAACCCATGATGCCGTCAAAGTGATTCAAAGTGGCCTATTTTTAGCAATAATGCACATAAATGTTAAGAGAAATAGTAATACTGAATAGAGTGCTGCAGGAATGAGTCCGAAACTAGCGGTTCCATCGTCCCAAAGTGGGTTAAATGTGGGGAATGGGTTTTGGTTAAATGCCTGAAATAAGGTCTGTGGTTAACACAAGTTCAGGATATTTTCATGTTTTATTCTACCATACAAAATACATCATTACTACCACTTTTTACCAAAATTTGTTTTAAGCTTTTATGTGCGTTTAAAAAGATGATTGCTAACAAGTGGCTAAATGGGACTACAGAGGTTTTCAGGGTGATTGCATCTACTTACTAGTCTGCTTTTGCTGCCTCGCTGTGTTTATAGTCACGGTCTTGCAGACTGTGCTAGCTAAAATTTGTCAAGTTTAATGGTGGTGATGTTGACGTCATGCAATTGTGGTGTAATTCACTAATAATCTAAAGTTAGCATTTACTTCTGGCAGTTGTATTTTGTCTTCAAAATTCTTAAAAGCTGTGTTCATTTATGAAGATTATCCTGACGAACAAAAAGGCTATGAACCATAAACCTTTGTTGGTCACAGAGCTTATTTTAATTTTAATTTATGCAATAATCCAAAAGCCATTGACAAAATTGTATTGGTTTTTTTTTTCAGGGAACCAGGGTGATGTTAAATTCTGGGTTGGTCTACAAAAATATGTCAAAATACGACAGCACTTTATAGATGGTTGTTGCATAGCTGATGTTTTTGAAGAACTGTCCATACAATAAGAGTCAACGGGGTCCAAAACAACCCTGAACCCAACTGACTTGGGTTCAAAATATAAAATAAAAAGTAATACAGGTTTTTAACAACATTAGGGTGAGTAAACAATTATCAAATTTCATTTTGATGCTGAGCCAAGAATAAATCAATCACCATGTTGACATCCTGAGCACAGTCGCATCATTATCACACCCCATGCATATATCTGTAGGGTTCACAGGAGGAAGCTTCCACCGCTACAAATATGAGTGTCATGAGAAAGACAGTGGGATTAGAATACAACGATTGAATCTGTCTCTGGTGTTTGACACTGAGCTTGAGATTTCTTTTATTTTTACCTTTAACCTGCTCTCTGTCCCTCCCCTCTTTTCATACTTCTTACCCTCTCTTCTCCACTGTGCTGAATGGCAACCAGTGCCGGTTATGATGTGGCATGTGCCAGCCACAGAGGAGGCGGGCACACCACACGTCTATTTTGAATTCCTAGGCAGTCTCCCTGTAGTCCCCCACTCCAGAGATGATCTCTCAAAACGTGTAGGAGAGAGCCCTGAATAATCCTACGCTTCCCAAGAAAACACAGACCCCCTCCAAGGCATCTTTGCCCCCATTTTGCATAAGACAGACGCATATAAATTGATAATACAGTTGATGCGGTAAATGGAGTCATAACGCTATCTTATAATGATAGGGCAGATGGACAGGCGAAACCCGAGATTTCCTTCCCATAGAGATGTGCTTCCTCCCTGTTGAACTGTACCACGTCATGATGATTCCTTTCATGGTGTACAATTACACATGAACCATTTTGTATATTCACAGTCTTGGACCGTTGGAGGGAGTTTGCTGTACCCCGTGAGTTTGGTTTAACAATTAATTGTGAATGAGTGCCAAATGGGCTGCTCGTTCTCATGGTTAACATGCTACCTGGATGAGTAGGTTTCTATAGCAACGCCAGAGTCCCCTCCCCCGCTGTAAAATGCACACGAGCACGCAATGCATACCGCTTTGACATGCCAGAGATGATGCTGTCATTTTGCCAGTTGAGCAACGCAAGGATTTACAGTACAGTGATAATAGCTCAGATAAATGATCAGCGTTTTCTCAATCCTCTCGTTTTATGGGAGGTGTTGTCTTGTTATAATGAGGTTGGTTTGGGTAAAAAAGTCCTCGGTTTAGCAAAGCTCAGCTGTGTAATATGTTGACACAGATGAAACGGTTGTTACTTCCACACCACTAGGTTTGAGCTCCCAGCTGTTCCTTCTCTGTCCCTGCCTCAAGAGCCCTAATGCTACGCATTGCTGCTTTAAAACACCCATCGTTAGGCATTGCACACCCTCACACGCTTGCAGAGCTTTCTTTCTGGCATACCAAGATGCATTCTTTATGCTAAATGCCCTATCTGATAGTAATACTGGCCTGAAGGACTGAGATGTACTGAGATTGGCCCAAGATGCTGTCAGTCATGAATAGTATCTGCTGAGAATCAGGAGAGCTCATCTATCTATTGCCTTAAAGGGGACATCGCCGATCGGATGGCCATTTTCCACAAGTTGGTATGATTCTTTAGGGTCTTCATGAAATGTCTGTAACATACTTTAGTTAAAATTATTCAATGATCATGAAAAACAACACTTTTTACCTTGTTGGCTGCGTTTTTTCTTTTCAGCTGGCAGACACGCCCGAACTAAACGCAAAAAAAAAAAAATGTTATCCCATGGCCCCTTGAAATGTTTCAGTCCATTCCTAGATGTTCAGGAACTCTGTAATTGTGCTTTATAAGGAATGTACTATATGTACTAATGGACTATATGTACTAATGGACTATAGTCAGGGTTGACTTCATATTTATAACTAAATTTTAATTTCTGCACCAACTGCAAAATGTCAAAATATCTTTTGTTGTAAAAAAAAAAAGTCATGACCTGAAACATGACCTCTCGACCATTTGATATATATATATATATATATATATTGTATATATATATATATATATATATATATATATATATATAGTGCATCTATCCTTATCTTTTCATTTGTGTCGATTTGTTGTTTCAAATATGTAACATCTTAAAGTAAATGTAACAAGTAAATATGCCATCTTCCCTGTTTAAGGTCCCTTTTATAGTATCTGGAATCTACTTCAATGCAGTCATTTTAGTTCTATGATAACATTCACTTCATCTTTCATGTATTCTGTCATAAAATATGTATTTAAATCTTAGTATTTAAATCAGTTAAATCAGTTATTATTGGTCATGTCCTTTATTTCTTGTTCTTCATCATTCTAGGAGTCAGATGTCAATGTTTGCAGGAAAAGGTGTCAGATCCTTGAGAGAGAAGTGAAAAACAAGACATTAGAATGTAAGACTTTGGTGAGTACAAGCTACAGTACGCAATGCATAATGTCATGGCTGATAATGTCAGAAAGTCATTTGTGCTCTTCTGGTGCACTCCATAAAGCATAAACCACAACTAGTATACTGGGCTTGTTCTCCTGTGTATTTTTCTGAAATGCATGTCCTTCCTTTTGTTAAAGCTTTCAATATTCTCAAGTTTTTTATTTTATTATTTTATTTTATTTTAAAGTTACTGACATTGAGGAATTATCCCCAACCCCAATATTCAAATTCAAAGCATAACCCTAATGTGTCACCGTACTTCAGTAAATTTGGAATTGACATACAGTACTTAATGATTAATCATTTTCATAGATTTGTCCATTTCCAGCAAGGTTTGCATATTGATTTTAAAAAGTAGTAGTTAGAATTCTTGCAAAGAACTTCTGCAGATTTTAAAGCCTTTGGACTACATGAGAGCTACATGTTGAATATTTGTTTTTACATGTGTAAAGGGCACGTAAGATCTCCCTATACAGTTTGTATGAATGAAGCTACCGCACACCACCTCATTAGTGGAGATCCTGTGGGTGTTTAATGGGAAAGCACAGGAATAGCATGTCTGATCTTAAAGCACACGCTCCTTGGTGGCAAATGCTCAAATGTGCTTTCAAGTTTCCCTGAGAAACATCTTTATCCTTTTATGTCAACTATGTTAATTTGATAAAACCCTAGTGTTGCAATTAAAGTAGCACCGCTAGCCCAACAGTTGATTTACTCTAATAATTTTTTATGAGCTGGGGGGCATTAATTAGCGAATTCTGTGAGAAGTGTGTTTTGGAACTTGTAGAGATGACATGTCAAGAGGTCACAGAGATAGTTGCTCTAAATAACAAACAGCTGTCTAATTGGATCAAATCTGTCTTAATGAGCATTTTAGTATATACATTGCAGTATATACATTAGTGTAGTGACAGGCTAAGGGAGGATGCGGCCTCCCTGCTGACCTCCTGTAGCTGTCATGGCAACCACCTGCTCTCAGTGGGAGAGGAGCCCTGAGCTTTCACAGCAGGATCAGAGGCTAAGATTTCTGTTTGTTACAGGTACAGACTGGAGATATCACCTAAGATTGACAGATCTGCCATTATAGGCTGCATGTTAAAGAATTTAATCTATTGTGGGTAAATAAAACGTGTTTTAGTAAGAATGAGTGTAGTACTCAGTGTGCCAGTGCCAGTACACTGGTACAGCAATGAATATATGGATAGTTGACTTGAAATACTTTAGGGAAGTTGCCATTCTATGATCCATCAAAAATTATTTCAGTTAATTTTTTCGGCACTTTCAACAAATATGGTATACTATGGTGTCTCATTCAAACCTGTTACGCAAGAAAAATGATCAAACAAATATATTTTTTGTTTCATTTATGGATAAATTTGCAATGCTGTTACCTATTTTTGTGTGTGTGTGTGTTTTTTATTTGTTATATAAATTTTTTTATGTTTATTGTTAGAAAACTGGAAAAAGTACCACAATGCCATTTACAGTAAAAGTAATTTATTTATCATTTTAAAAGAGTCAAGACAAAAAGGTATTTTAAAAACATAAATGTTATAATTTTTATATACAGTAAATAAATTATAATATTAGTAACTTAAATTTTATTATATTGTTTACATATTATTATAGGTCGGTTTATATAATATGTTTTACAAAAATTTTAATCAGGCTGCTACATACAGTAATGGTGTCTTTTTTATTAATTAATTAATTAATTTATTATTATTGTTATTTATTTATTTATTTTTCAAAAAAATTGATTAGACGTTGTCTGGATTTAAAACAGAATTAATTGCTCAGTTCATTTTCTTTAACATAACTAAAATTGAGTATTGAGTATTTTATCTCAATTCGACTTGACCCACAGATTAACTGCATCCCAGAGTTCTGTTTCTCTTGTTATATGTCTATGGTTGTATAACAACACCCACACTCCCTATATACATCTACAATGCTGCAGTGGTTGGCCATGTAAAGAGCCTCATCTCACTGAATGTTGTGGAAGGATGAGCAAAGCTTTTCTGAGCAGCTGCAGAACCAGGGGCCAAACTGGAGGGTGGGGATCAGGCAGCCATGTCTGCTCGAATTAGTCCATTCTTGTGGCTTGCTTTCGCTCTCTCTCTCTTCCCAAGACCACCTCCTTCTGTCGCTGTTCTGCTTCTTGAGCCATCCATATGGAAATCAAAAGCAGGATTCCTGGGTATGATATGTACCGCTGCTTTAACTCACATCCCTTTGAGAGTTTCAGTTGATAATCCCATGGTAGTCTAATCTTTACCACATTAAAGCTGCATTTAATCAGCCATGACTGCGCAGTGAACTGCATATTTTTTACTCCTGGTTTCAATGTGCAGCCATTTCAGCTGCCTCTTAAAGGTCCCTTGAGCAGAGGTTAAAGACTGTCCTTTCATATGAGGTAATAGAACATGATGGCTAAAATGTTCCCAAATGTATATGTGGATATGCTTCACGTGATCCCATGGGAGGTCTGTGGTGGTCACTGTTTGCAGGCAGTTGAGTGTGCGCCACCCTCGTGTGCAGTAGCTGTCATGTCCAGGGTGACACTGTGGTTGTCAGACAGGGCTTCTGACAAGAAAGTTCAAATGTTCCTCTAGTTGCTGTTAAGCAAACCTGACACCTGATATACTGTGACATGTAAGCCAGTCAGGAAGGGACAGGATGCTGAGTCAGAGACACTCACAGAGTTCAGCCAGGGTGTGGCACTTTGAAAACTTCAAGAGATGGGCCACTGTGTTAAACAGTCAAATTAGGGGGTGCATTTATGGGTAGATGTAGTGTGGTAAGATACAAGTTGTCTGCTCAGAAGTGAGATGATTTCCGTTGCCTTTCTCATTGCCTGTTGCCAAGTCTTTTTCTTAATTTTTCTAAACATTGTTTAATTGTTTAAAGGTATGCAGTGTTTTACATTTTAAAATGCTATCCTAGCTTAATATGTAGAGACATCTGTAAGTAAGCTATTTGTAGGTTGACTTCCCCATAAATGAGAAATTCAGGTGCTCTGTAACATCCAAAACATATAGGTGTGTTTGAACCAGGCAAAATCGAAACAATTTCTGAATGGCGTGAGTTTGGGGCAGGGTTAACTGTATAATTCTTTGACCATTGGGAAACCTTTTAGAAAACGTTCTTTATTTTTGCAGTTTCATTTAGTGATGCTAGTGACGAAAAAAAACTATACACTTCATAAAAAGAAGCCTAAATGACCTCAATCCAATTAAAAAGGTAATCTACCAACAAATTGAATCTGGTCTGTGGTAATTGCTGCAGAGTACCATTCTCCATGAAGTATTGATTAATTTTTCATACACACTGTGTTAGATGTTTTGAGATTTTGGTGGCTCTTTAAGCACAGCCAATGATGAATGACAAAATGAGCACCCATCTTCATTCCCTATCGTCCAAAGAGATTTGTGTTCAAGAGATTGTGAGTTCATCACCCATGGGTTTATTCTCTAATCAGTCACATGCACCCTGTTGTTTACAAGGAGATTTATATGTTGATCTTTCTTTCCTTTGTATGATACTGCCAGACGTCTTGTCCAAAATTGTATTTCTCTGCAGTTGCACTTCTCACCAGTACTGTCAATAGATAGATATATAGATAGACAGACAGACAGACAGACCGACCGATAGATAGATAGATAGATAGATAGATAGATAGATAGATAGATAGATAGATAGATAGATAGATAGATAGATAGATAGATAGATAGATAGATAGATAGATGACAATGATGATGACAATGAGCTAACTCCTTTTTTCTTTTTCCTCTTGACAGAAGAATGAGCTTCAGGATGCTTTGCTGGAGAGAAAACGGCTCAATCGTGAGCTACTTAGTCACGTACTGAAGGCCACACAGTATGATAAGGTAAGAGATGGTCAGCATCACACGCCAGCTGAGCTCATCAGATCAATGGCTGCTCATTACATGGCTCTGCTAGGAACATGTGCCCAAAAGGCTCTTCTCTGCATCTCATTGGCAGTATTGATCTTATCGCATCCCTTTTTGGTCAATATATCCACCTTGTTTGTTTTCACCAGATTTAGTTCATTGAAACTGAATAGGGTTTTGCCTGCATGCATTTATTATGGTTTGAAATCTGCCTTCATGATGTGACAAGTGTGCCCAAATGCACATGGGAAATAATCAGAAAGTGAAAGACTTAAGCTCGATCATACTGTGAAAGGAATCCAGTGACACACGAATAGGGATAGAAATGTAAGTAGCAAATCTGCTAAGAAGTGGATATCATTCTAACACAGGTACTGCTGAGAGTGGCAGTCCATGGCACTCAATGTGTTATTAGTGTAATTTTCACTGGTGCTTTTTTTTTTTTTTTGCCAAGGCGCCATGCCACGGTTTGGCAGTCTTTTTCCGAATAATCCACAGGCTGCTCCTATCCTCTAACAGCAAAAAGGGCCATCTGTCACAACCCCAGACAAGTGTCTGAGATAAAATGTCTTTTGTTTAATCAGGTAGTGCTGCCCGCTCTCATTCCCTTTCCCTCAATGATCAAAGGCTCATTTCCCAGCATTCAGTGGTGCTAACAAGGCCGAGGAAAGTAGGTAAATAACCCCAAGTGGGACGGGTCGGTTTGTCACACGCTTCTGCACCAGGCACAATCTCATATACCGATCTTAAATCGATACAAGATGTGACTCAACCTCCCCATTTCTCTGAGCCTGAACGGATGAAATGTGTGCTAATAAATGAGAGAGAGTATGGGCGTGTGCCAGAATGATGCAGCCACTAGTATGTGATATATTGAGTGGTGAATTTTGATTGGATGGATTCCTTTTTGACTCTGTCCTGAGGTGACCCTCTTCTGCACTCATCAGGTGATTAGTGAGTTCTGCCAGCATCGTGAGTCAATGTAAAAGTCAAACACTGAATCTTTATTTTTAGAGCTTTTGCCTTAGATACAAATTACCTGAATTATTATATTTATTTATATTATATTTATAATTATTATATAGTCTACAGCGCCAGAGAGTTGTGTTTCAAGCCTTATGAAGGATCACTGCACCTTTTATGAGAATGAAAAATAACTACTGAAATAATCTAGCAAAATGATTAATACTGTTTCAAAAAATTCTGCTTAGACCCACACTCATTGTGAAATATGTTCTCACGGTCCATTGTAAAACGCATTTAAGCACTATTGCAGAGTCAGCCATTTTTTTCCTTTTGTTGTGGTCATAATTAAATGTCCAACATTTGAAGTCTGGCCAAGGTTCCTCTATTAGCTCTGCTTTTCATTGTTTAAGTGACAGTTATGTAAGTTTAGCTGGATTTTTGTGACTTAAGACAGTTTATATATCCTCATTTTGTTTCTGTAGGTAAAGTCAGACTATGATCGGCTCAGAAAGGCTTTTGCGTGTGTGAGTCAAGAGAAAGACTCTGCCAGGCAGGAGAAGGCTCAGCTCCAAGACAAACTGGAGAACCTTGAGCAGGTCCTGAAGGTAAGATCATTGTTGGATATTAGTGAAACAGTAGTTTGACTACCGATTCAAATCCAGCCAGCATTCAATACATCTTGGAAATATGCATCTCAAAATTTAATCTTAATAACACCAATGATTTAGAAAGAGTTTTGAGGACAGAGACGGCCTTGTAAAATACTGCAAACTGACTGTTTATTATATCATTAACCCTTTAAGAATGTAAGATTTAAAATAGATAACTTGCCCAGTGGAAAGTTCAATTGAAACATTTCAGACAGAAATTCAAGAAGCTCTATTTTTTTCTTTTAAAGAAAATCTTTTATTTCAGTCCAGCTGCTGCAACACTATCTGGAATGATTATGCATTTCTGAGGATCTTCAAACAACATCAAAAAGAATCCTGACATTTTACAGAAAACCTCTTGTTTTCTGCTCGACTCATTGCTATACTACCTCTAGTTCTTTGTCTCATCTTATCTCTTCTGTAATCATTTATCACATAGTCAATAATAAGAAAGGTAGGAGAGAAAAATACATATTTCTCATTTCAAAGTCGATTTCTTGTTATAAGAGTTTTCTTCCTCTCGAGACGCATGACACAAGCAGTCCATAAAGCGACAAGTGCAGGAACACTTTTCATTGAACAATGAGTCAGCAACATGATGCTGGCAGAAACAAATCAGATAAAGGCAACAACATTATCTCAGCTGGTATCTGTTTTTCCTTTAAAAGCAAGAAATATGATCTTAAATAATACTGGTTGCTTGATTAGATTACGGTCACAGTAAAAAAGGAGTATAGCTCACCCAAAAATAAAAAAATGAACAGATGCTGTCATCTGTCATTTACTGACCCTCATGTCAATCTATGACTTTTTTTCTGTGGAACCAGAAAGAAGAATTTTATTTTGATAAAATGTCCCATTGTGAGGTCCAAAATAACATTGGACAATTGTGTGGACAGAAACATTATTCAAAATATCTTTTATTTTTTTACAGAATGAAATCATGGTTTGAAGCGACATGAAGTTAAATCAATGTAGCTATGTATCTTTTGAACGTTTATATGCTATTATGTAGCTAATACATTCATGTTCATGTTCACTAATGTTCATTTGCACATTTGTAAAAATAAATATATTTTGTTGTTTCTCTTCTCCTCTTCAGCTGCTCCTATTTTAATGAATATGCAAAGCTTTGAATGTGTAGCCATGTGAGTGTGTGAGGTGTGTATGTGCGCTTAAAACCTCACCAAAGTCATCAAAGAAAAGAAAAGAGGCTTTAACTCTCTTAAAGAAGATGGAGATGAGGACAGTGAGAGAAATGGGGAGAAAAAAATGGATCTTAGACCTTATAAGCTTAAGCTTTTAAGCCTCACAACATGTCTGATATGCTTCAGTCCTACTCTTGTCCAGTTTAGCTGAATCTTGAATAAAGGAGAAGGAAACCTGAACCCAAACAGTCCATTAGACATTGTTTATTGTGTTTTATTCATCAGTTTTTATCGTGGCGTTCTTGGTTTTCTGAATTTTCACAGAACATGTTGTATTTACCAAGTGCTGCTCCATCAGTGGCTGTTGGTGTCATCACTCACACTGTCACTATTGCACTTAATGTGTCTGTTAAAGCGCCCTTTGTGGTTATTCATGATGCTTTTTTCCCAGATCATTGTCCGCAGCCTGAAAACAGCAGGTTTGAACAAGGATTAATGGCTTGTTTTACAATGTAACTTTTTAGAAAGCAGGAGTTTCTACAAATGTGTGACAAACATGTCTTAATTCTAATTTCTCTCTCTTTCTGTTTTTACTTTTTTTCACATTTAGCATATGCGAGAGGCTGCGGATCGGCGGCAGCAATTGGAGGCAGAGCATGAGCAGGCCTTGGCTTTCCTCAACTCCAGACAGCAGGAGATCAACCTTCTGCAGAAGGTAAGAACCTCAGTGAACCTCAAACATGCCTGCACACACACATATGGGTGTTTCGTTAACTACAGTCACTGTATGTCCCAGGGGTTGATTTTTATTTATTTAACAGATTGTAAGTTTGAAGGTCACATTAAAACTGTCTTGTAAACTTTATAACAGGCCGTCATCATTTATGCTATTTTTCAGTTCCCTTTTATGTATGGATATTTAATACTAATAATATTTTTTTATGTAATATCTAACCAAGCTGTTATTTAGTCATTTATGCAGATGTGTGAATTTTATTTAAATTAATTTTGATTATCAATTAATCCAACGATTACTAGTATTATTAATCGTAGATTATTTCACCGATTAATCAGTATAGGCTTTGATCAATTATTCAACTTTGCAATTAGTTAACATAGAGTTATACATATTTTATACATATTCTATATTCTATATTACATTTATACATATAGAGCTGCTTTGTAGTAGAAAATCAAATAGTAATTCTAACAGAAAGCAACACTGACTTTTTTTCTGTTTAATACTGTAAAGCTGCTTGCTTTAAATCAGTGGTTCTCAAACTTTTTACATCTCCATAGCCCCTGGGGCATTTAACATTTTTCTGCGTACCCCCTCTCTTCCACTTAGACCGCAGTCACACTTTTTCTATTAAAGGACGATATTTGCCCCCTTAAATTGATTTACAGGTGCATTTTTTAACTTTATAGAGGCAAATATTTTCTATCCTTATTAATTGTATGTCATGTTTATGTCATATTCTTAACATTCCATTAAGTGTATTATTAATATAAATTAAGCAATAAATTATGGCAAATCGAAGTGATACTTTTAGATTTAAAAATAAAACCGCCAATAGGTGGCGGCAAGTTGCTGTCTTACTGAGCCAGGCGTCGCTTCATTCATTCATTCATTCATTCAGTAACGAAGCAAAATGCTGTAGTTATGAATGGGTTATTAATCACTGACTCTCCGAATCGTTCAAAGCCACAGATTTGTTCGCTAACGAAACAATGCTGTATGTTGCTTGGAGACACACACCAGATGATACGGATTTAGTTGGAACTATTATTTCGTTGCAAAATAGAACAAACATGACAATATTCTGTTTAAAAGGTAGGCTACATTTAAAATGTAAAATGTTCACTTATAATGTTAGCCTACCTTTTTTTGTTCAACTGTTGTAAAAATTAATCGTTTGGATATTCAGAGAAATTTGCATTCTTGCTGGTATCTTAAAGGGGTCATATGATGCTGCTAAAAATAAATTATTTGGTGTATTTGGTGTAATGAAATGTGTTTATGCGGTTTAAGGTTCACTTTAAATATAAAAAACGTACTTACAGTCTGTGAGTCAGAACAGCCGACATTGTAGTCTACTCTTCCAGGATCAGGAAACAGTCCATGTGCTGCACACATCTGAATATTTGGGTTGAAGTGTTCTGGAACAGTGTTGTAAATACAACTTAACCACTGATTTCTAGTCGTGTCCATTTTTGGAAGGCCAAACAAAGTAGTTTCGCTTTCACAATGAAACGGCACACACAGCGGCCTATAGTGAGCAGAGGCCGGGGGCTAGTGTGAGGAACGGTCGGAGGGTTAGTGTGAGCAGAGGCGGCGGACTTGAGAACGGTGCGGCCGGCGATTTTGACGAAGGAGCCTCCGGAAGGACATGTGACTACTCCGGGCTGGACTCCGCTTTGTCCACGGTGAAAGCCGATCCGGCGATTCACAGCGCAAAGTTGTAGTATTTCCTCAGCAACCAGCACGGATCAGCTCCAGGCATGATGAAGCAGATGTCGTCCTCTTTTGGAAGACCAAACAAAGTAGTTTCGCTTTCACAACGAAGCACACAGCGTCTTCACGACAACAACAAAACTACAGCGAGAATAAAAGTTACGCCTTCTTTCTTTGTGTGAACATTTGGGCTGCGTTATGCAAATCTTCCCACATAGCGAGGTAGATATGTGGGGGCATGTTAGAACGAGCTGTTTTAGGTAGGCGTGGCTGACTCTTAACTTTTATAAAGAATATTTCTTTGGATTTGAGACTTTAGTCTTTGCAACTTTACAGATCTTCTTTATGCACCAAGAGCTTGTAACACTCCAAAGAGAAAGGAAAAATTTAAATCGCATCATATGACTCCTTTAAACATGAAAACAGTAACACGCACAGAGTGTGTCTGTATTGAAGAGAGTTTAAATCGATCTCAGTCCGTGTCAATATTTGCTCTTTATGCTATTAAGTAAAGATCTATTTTAAAGATACATTGAACAGCAGCGCGATTTGCTAAAGCAGCATATTCAGCGGGCATCCTATCGCATGCACGCTGCTTGTGTGGATGCCGTCAGTTTAGACTGCAAAAGATGAGGTAAGCTCATTGGATATCATGTATTTGACCGTTTATTTACGGTAAATAAATGTGATGTGACTTACTGGAGTGCCATCATCAGCACTATAATCAGATGCTTTCTTAACTGCTATTTTCTCACCACTGGCATCTTAGTTGTGTGTTTATTTTGTTATTGAGAGAAAAGTTTGCTGCACATATTTACATATTCATTTAAATGCCGCTCTCATCAGTGTCGGTATTTTCGCTAACAGTAAGCCCCTGCTTGTGTATATCAAACTTGTTTTTACCTCTAAATGAAGAACAAAGTGTTGGTACACTCAACACTAACTCACAGGAGAAAAACTTGTGCAACAGTTATAATAGCCTTCACCATGAGTATATCAGGGCCTTTACACATGACAGCATTTTTTGTTTGCAGTTTTGTAAACTTTCCCACACTGTACTGCTTGATTTGCACATCTCACAAGCATGTCTTCTTCTATTGGACTGCAGTCTGGAGCACTGAATTACAGTCTTGCAGCTACAGTGACACACTGGTCAAACCACATTATTGTAGGCCTTTACATTGCGTCATATGAGATCAAATATTGTTTATTGTCTATATTGACTATTCACTATTAAATTAGATATTAAATTAGATTTAGCAAGACAAATGAGTTTGAAATTAATGCTTTTTTTTACAGCACAGATCACTACTATGAACTAGTTCAGTTCCTCACGCCAATATCTTATTCATCTGTTATTTATTATATCATATCTAATGATCATGATATGCCATCATTTTTTTCAAGTCCTTCCGCAGAAGTTGACGTAAGGATAAGAAAATATTCTTCTGACATGGAAGCAATAGATATTCTGGCATATAGGGCTGGATAAAATCAGTGCAGTCGCATAATAGGATCATGGCTGCAGAACTGTTTGCTTTTCTTTGTGTCTGCGGCCTTTCAGGAAGGAGCAGCGACAGGCAAGCAAAGCAATTAGAGCCGACAGCAGACACCGCATCAGTGCAGATCCCTAGGGAGGGGTTTGACAGAGCTTTTACCTCACTAACATACACAACACAGGCATATATGCACAAATGACTTGATTCAACTCGCATGGCAATCATAGCCTGTCTTTATCTTACAATTTCCTGTTTGCCTAAAAACAAAGAGTTTTCAGTGTAATTTTACTCACTTATGAGTAGGGGTGTAACAGTTCAAATTACTCACGATTTGGTTTGTAACATGGTTTTAGAGTCGCGGTTTCAGTACGGTTCGGTTTGTGCTATGTTTAGGGAAAAAGGGACTATACTATAAGGGGCTTTAAACATGCCCCCACATGTCTTTTGATTTGCATAATGCCGCCTAAATGTTCACGCAAAGAAAGAAGGCGTAACTTCTATTCTCGATCACACTCAAACAAGTCGGGTCCCAGATCAAGTCTGAGGACTGGTTTGGCACGATCGATCTAAAAGATGCACATGTCTCCATCCTTCCACATCACAGGAAGTTCCTGAGGTTTGCTTTTGGGGGCAAAAGCTTACCAACACCGAGTTCTTCCTTTGGCCTTGCACTCTCATCCCACACTTTCACGACTCAACCACATCGACGATTGGTTGATATTAGCTCAATCAGAGTGGATGACAGTTCGACATCGAGATGTTGTTCTCGCTCACAGAAAGAGCTGGGGTTAAGACTTAACGCCAAGAAAAGTGCGCTTTCTCCAGTACAGAGAACCACTTATCTGGGCGTGGTGTGGGATTCGACCACGATGTAGGCACGTATGTCTTCTGCTCGGATCGAGTCGATCCTCATCGCGAGAGTGAGAGAAGGCCGGTCACTCACTGTCAAGCAGTTCCAGACTGCTGGGTCTGATGGCAGCCGCGTCCAACGTGGTTACTTTTGGACTGCTGTACATGAGACCCCTACAGTGGTGGCTTAAGAACAAGGGGTTCTCCTCAAGGGGAAACCCACTTCGCATGCTCAAGGTCACGCGGCCGTGCCTACGTGCCTTAGACATGTGAAGGAAACGTTGGTTCTTATCTCAGGGCCTGGTGCTGGGAGCTCCTGGTCGCCGCATATGCTAGCGACGGATGCATCTTTCACTGGTTGGGAGCGGTCATGAGTGTGGAGCGGCCGCCATCTCAAGTGGATAAGTTGACTGGATATGCTGGCCGTGTTTCTAGCTTTGAAGCACTTCCTCCTAGGCCTAAGAGATCTAAGAGATGGTGCGCACCAACACACAGCGGGCAGACATCCTGCCGAGGCAGGGGCCGAGGCCCGGGGAATAGATGCCTCACCCCGAGGGGTGAAGCAGACTTGGAGAGTCTTTGGCCAGGCTCAGGTGGACTTGTTTGCGACTCAGTCCCCTCTGGTTCTCTCTCGGACTCATCCAGCTCCACTGCGGCTGGATGCCATGGTACAGACGTGGCCGAGGCTTCATCTGTACACCTTTCCCCCGATTGTTCTGCTCGTGGGAGTTCTGGAGAGAGTGCACTGGAACAAGGTCAGTCGACTGCAAGACAGTGGCCCCATTCTGGCCGGGCCGAGTATGGTTCTCGGACCTGATTTCTCTCCTTGACGGTGCTCAATGGGAGATTCCCGTCAGGAGAGATATCCTCTCAAAGGCGGAGGGCGCGCCCCCTCCCGGAGCTGTGGGAGCTGTGTGTGTGGCCTCTGAGGAGGCACAACTCATAGCTTCTGGTCTCTCAACCGAGGTTGTTGAGACCATCCTCCATCCAGAGCTCCCTCTTTGAGGAAACTGTACTTCTTGGTGTGGAGACCGCCAGCTCGACCCAACTAACTGCCCGTTTGGTACAGTTCTGGAGTTCCTGCAGGCCTGTTTATCTGCAGGGTTGACCCACTCCACCCTAGAGGTCTTCGTGGCGGCCATTGCGGCCTACCACGCCCCTCTCGGTGGCCATTAAGTGGGAAGACACCCTCTTCTTACACATTTCCTCCGTGGTACACTGAGGCCTCCGGCCAGAGAAGCTTATGCTAAGTGGTGGACCAGGATGCTATTCCATAGCCTTGAGCTCTCTGATCTCCCCTCTCCTTCGGGGGTCAAGGCTCAATCCTCCAGAAGTTGGCCTTCGGGACGGCGGGCCCCGCCTACTTTAGCCATTCCTGGCTCCCTTTTCTCTCGCCTCAGTTTTGCTCTTCCACACTAGGCAGGGATTTGCAATTCTGGCGGCATGGGCATTCTCGTTCCCGTAGTGTTTCGACGCAGCTCGAGTTCCTGAAGGGGACGTCTCCAGGTTACGCATGTAACCATGGTTTCCCGAAGGGATCGAGACGCTGCGTCTCAGGGCCATACTTCCGGCATCCCTGCCAGCGCTTGCTTCACTCCTAAAAGCTGATGCCGGTTTCACCGCACGTGCTTTTATGCTTCCTGGTCGCTACGTCACCCCGCCCGTGACATCTCGCCCATCCATTGGACTGATTACACATGTGATTCAGAGCGTGGCCACGCTGGAGGCGTTCCCGTAGCGTTCCGACGCAGCATCTCGTTGCCTTCGGGGAACCATGGTTACATGCGTAACCTGGAGACGTTTTCAGGTACAGAAATTGAATAAAGTACTCAAATGTAAAATAGAATTGCGTATTTTACTGTAAATATTAAAGATTAATCCTTATTAAAGTTACAAAAGCTATTCAATCAAGAGCAGTGAGTGATTTCCTTGTCTTTTGTTTGATTAACATTAAAATTTTTAAAACAATGCACGGATCCAGTACACTGATCATAATCGAGCATATGGCACTCGCATTGAACAGTTTACAAAGAGTAAATGGTTTGTCTACTTATTTTTTATTTATTTATTTATTTTGTTCATTGCTGTTGTTGTAATGTATTGGGAAGCCAGAATGCGTATCCATCGACAGAAACATACATAACCGAACTCTGTCTGTTTTATCTGTTGTTATTTTTAACAAACCAAATTGGTGCCGAACCGCGGGTGGAGAACAGTATGGTTCGACAGAGAACGGTTGCACCCCTACTTATGAGTAACTGCTGTGAACTGTGACTATGCCCTTCAGATACTGAATTTCCCTTCTGGGATCAATAAATCTGTCTGAAATTAGATGAAGTAGCTTTGCCAACCAAATCTTGGCAAATCTTTTAGATTCAATGTGAAATTATGATGTCCTACTGACGTTGCAATTACTTTCTGAGATTTGGGTCTGTCGGTTTTTGAGTAAATGGAATTGCATTTGTACAGCTAAATTAAATATACTATCTCTTATTTTCAGGTTCAGGCTGAAGCTGAAAAAGAACGCGAAGAAGTGGTGCATCTGCTAGAGGTAAAATATAATCTTTTTGCTTTCCTTCTGTCCTATGGCATCCTGCTCTGAAAAGCCTAATCTACACTCCTGGCTTGGTCAGCAGAGTCTGCCTTTCGTGCAAAAAGGACCTGTCTACCCAAATTATCTGATAAACCTACAAGGGACCGGTGCAACCTGTCTGGATCCCTCATGTGTTTAATAAAATACCTCCATGTCTGACAGTCAGTCCACTCTGAGAAGCTTCTGCTTGTCACATACTATCAGCTTGACTTTCGAGGAGAACTTATGTCCCCTATGGGGCGTCTTTCCAGAGTATCCTCATTTTTATGACCTTCATAATTTTTGCCTTTTTCCGTCTTTAATATTGTTTTTTTACACCTTGTGATTTTGTTTCAAGCTGTTCAGTTTATCCTTTTTTCCATAGTTGAGTATTTTGTTTGTTTTGTGATATTTTTCATCTCAGACCCTTGTTATTCTGATTTATATATATATATATATTTTCCCTTTTGTGTTTAAACAGAGCCATATGGACAAAATGCAGGTACAAACACTCACTTATCCTGAGATTTTTTTTCCTTCCATATCAGTTTTTTTTCTCATGCGAGGCATAAAAAACAACATGGACCATGACTCTTTTAAAAGAATAATTCACCCAGAAATAAACATTTTTGTCATCGTTCTCATTCCAAACCCATTTGATTTTCTTCCATTGAACAAAAAAGGAAAAATATTGATGAATTTACTCATATTTTCTTCCATGTGAGTAAATTGAGGCTTTCCAGCTTCAAATAGGACACAAAAACATTACAAAAGCATCATAAAAGTGGTAATTGTGACTTGTGCTGTGCATTTGAATTTTTGAGACTATAGTCAAGGATTTGTGTGAAGAACAGACTGAAATTTAAATAATTATTAACTGATTACATTCCAGTATGAACAGCATGAGGGATGAATAAATAACGACAGAATTCTTATTTTTGGGTGACCCATCCCTTTAAAATTATTGCATTATTGTGTGTCCTTTGAGTATCTCTGCTGCTACACTCATCTGTGTGGCTGTAAATTGTTGCTTCAAAAGAGTTAATAGTTTAACAAACAAAATGAAGTTTCCCTGAGATTGTGACAGGCTGTTGCATCAGGTCTTTTGTTGTTGGGGTAAAACTAGGACCTGGTGAAATTATGTGACTGTATCAGTATTAAGGTCTGGTTATATAATACACTTAAACACACTCTCTCACTCACACACACACACACACACGCACGCACGCAAACACACACACACACACACACACACAGAGGTTATTTAAATCTCTAATGCCTTTGCCATTTTTTTTGCAGTGTCTCATGCATGCTGTTCTAAAAACAAGGTTCTCAAGTTAAAACTAGAGATGTGTGCAATCCGTGTATTATTCGATCATTCGTTTTTTGATTTAATATTGAAAGTAGAAAAATTAGAAAACGGCTCGTTTTTTTTAATTTTTCCAAAAAATGAAAAACGAAAATTCAGCTTAAATTTTCGTTTTTCGTTCATGGGTGGAAAAATGAATAAACAGCTTGAATATTCTATTTCTACATGTGGGCGGGAATTAAAAACCCTTTCAGCTGATTGGTCAGCCGAAGATCAAACCGTGCCATCATCAGTTCTTCTGCAGTATCATGCAGCAGAATAATAGTCCTCCACTGCTGCAGTTGTATGGATTCTTAACGCATTTATTGCAACTACATTTAATCTTTTTTTTGTCACTCGTCTTTTAAAAGGCTTAATTTAGATTATTTTACATTAAATGCATCATATAAGTCACTTTGGAATAAATCACAGTAGGCCTATGTATCATGATAAAAAAAGCGACTTTACAGTCTGGAAATACTTTAGGCTATGGCAAATTATTTCTCGGACCCCCTATCACTTTAAGAACCGCTGGTCTACACTGAAGAAATAGCTGTCTAGACTCTGCCCCGGTACGAGTTGTGTCGAGCTATTCATTAGTCTGTTTGATGAGAAAAATATGAAATTGATAAAAATGGGTTATTAATCCGTACAACTGCAGCAGTGGAGGACTATTATTCTGCTGCGTGATACTGCAGAAGAACTGATGATGGCACGGTTTGATCTTCGGCTGACCAATCAGCAGAAAGGGGCGTTTAATTCCCGCCCACATGCAGAAATCGAATATTCAAGCTGTTTATTCATTTTTCCACCCATTAAATTCAAATTTAAGCTGAATTCTCGTTTTTCGTTTTTTGGAAAAAAACGAAAAAGGAGCCGTTTTCTCATTTTTCTACTTTCAATATTAAATCAAAAACACGAATGATCGAATGATACACGGATTCTGTGCCACAGCTAATTTCATTATTGTTTAAAAAGAGATTTTGTATTTTGAAAATGTTGTATATGCAATCCATTTGAAAAGCCTACTTCTTTAAACAGTTAAATCCCATACTGAATGTTGCTGAAAAATATATGCAGTGTACTTATAGATGCAATGTGCTTTACTTGCATTATGATCATTGTAAATGAAACTTAATCAGCATTAAACAATATAGACATAGTTGTTAAAATCTACTAAATCAATAGGAAAATTGAATTCAAACTCAATAGCCTATTATAAACAGACTTTCTTAAAAATTAACCAATATAAATACCATGGCCACCACTGGCATGTTTGGGTTTGAATGCTTCTCGTGCAAAAAAATTATGTGTATATATGACAGACAGCAAAATTGGAAGAAAAACCTAATGTGTACTGGCAACTATGCATTATTTAAGAGTATTGTATTCATTAGGATGTGGATCTCTTGTTGTCAAGCAAGTTTGATTTATAATGTTTCCCCTTAAACCCGGTTTAATTTCTTATCAGTAGGCTATTATCACTCATAACCACCAGAATAATAAAGCTATATGCAAGCCTATTTGTTATATGCCAGTTTGACATGAAAAAGTTTACAAACAACCTTCCTGCTTTCAAAGTCAAAATACGCCTTCACCTTCTTGTCTTCTGAGTGGACATTTCTCTGAGCCCGCTGCAAGTAACACATGCAAGGTCTAAGTTTAAATGAAATGATTTTTTCCATGCCAGATATACAATAAAACAATGTTTAAAAAAGATTTAACGTAAAGGACTAGTATTTCCAGTGTCGACTAGCAGCAGCAGTATCATTTAGTTGATTAGTCTAGCACATCCCTGAAAACAGGTTCAATTTAGAAAAATGTGACTCTGGCCTTTTTTTCATTCCACTGCCCTGCGTCTCATGCTTTCAAACACAAAAATGTGTCGTGTGAATGGCCCCTTAGGATATCAGAATAAATAGGCTTCTAAAAGGGGAAAAAAACAATTGCCATAACGAGTTGTTATTGTCACAGGCTGTGCATCCAATCAAACGTTACAGCATTTTGTTCGCAAATTTATTCAGTGATGGGTCTAATAGCAGGGATTTTGCTAATAATACAGTATTTTGCCCAGTGTTTGTTCAATATGTTAGGCTGGTAAATCAAACTACTGTTTTGTATGCATTTACAAAATTGTCCGTTTTTCTTTTCAGCCATGTCACGTTAACAATTTTGCATATTGTTGGTTCCTAAAGCAAAACCATTTGAGAACTACTGCTACAGCTCAGTCTATTTCTTCTGTGTGTTTATTCCTATGTATGATATAAATGATTTGATTTCCTCATTTGTGTATTTCTTTCTTGTATATTCCTTACCCTGACTCTCAAAGGTCAAGGTTCATGACTTAGAGCAGAAATGCCGGACACAGAGTGAGCAGTGCAATATTTTGTCGAAAGAGCTGGAGAGATATCACCTGGGGTCAGACACGGAGGAGACACTGAACACTGACTCACAGGAGAAAAACAGTTACAACAGCCTGCAGCGCGAGGCTGAAAAAAGTGAGTGAAGCATTTTTCAAACAGTTGGAGGTGTATTTTCTCCCACGTGAACCACAGACATTTCAGAATGTTGTGAGCAGTTTTGATAACACCTTTCTAGAATTTCTGACCTTCCTTTAAATGCATCTAATTTAAATTAAAAAAAATTCATGCAGCACATTGCATTTATCTCATACAGTGTACCATGGTAAAATTATAGGGCTTTTGGTATGGGTGAACATTCAGAATGCATACTATTTTTTCAGTAAATAGAAAGCTGCAAAAAATTATGCATTTTTTTGTACGTCAGCATAGAAGTTAGAATCACCATGGTTCCCTCTACAAAAACTCAATATGATTTTTCCATTGGCTTTTGAATTATTGAATTCTACATTCTATTCTTAAATACTAAAGGAATAATACTAATAATAATAATAATCATTATTATTATTATTAGAATTTTTTTTTATAAAAATACAGTATTTTGCCCAGTGTTTGTTCAATATGTTAGGCTGGTAAATCAAACTACTGTTTTGTATGCATTACAAAATATAATATGTGTTCATTTAATAAATAAATATTCAATGATGAAATTATCGAATGATTAAAATATTTGATACTTCCAACACCAGCAACCATAAGCCTCTAGTTAAACCTGTTGTGTATGCTGAGATCTGTGTATTTTATTTGCATTTTTTTCAATTAAAAATACAGTATGTAATTTTTTCAATTACAGATATGTGTTCATATTTTTATAATTATAAGTAATGCTTGTGTAAATAAGTAAAATATCTGTTTACCTTTGATATTAAATAAATCTGTTTCATTTAATTGCCTTCTCATCTGCCTAATGTTATTTTTTCCACAGCCTTATTTAGATCCATTTGTTCAGATCCATCCTATTGTTCAGTGATCAAAGCCATTGATTTTCATTATAACTCATGCTTGCAGTCGGATCTCCACTGGTCTCAGAACTGCCCATAGTACAGCAACACAAGAGAGACAAGCCAGAGCAGCTGTCGATCAAACCCACCGTCCAAACCCAGAGTCGCTCCAGTAGCCCCATGCAAGCATCCCTCTCAGAGGTTTGTCATGCGTCACAGCTACAATGTGATCATTCAGTTAACTGGTTGCCACGAGCAGATAACAGTATCTGTTTATCTGACTGTATTTTACTCAGGAGAAAAGAAATTTGCTCATTTCATGCTTTCATAACTGGTCTCTCTCTATAGATTAGAGCCATAAATTACTTCATATCAGATGTTGAAGATTGTCTGATGCTTTAGGAAAGTCAATTGTTTATGTATAACTCAATCCACTATTCCACTGAGACCTTATAGATGCCTGAAGTATGGAGTCAAAAAATGTATTTAATAATTAAAGGTGACGTGTGTAATTGTTTTGATGTAAAAATATTTTCTCCTGTCTCAACTGTAAACCATTTGTATGTTGATTTTGCAAAACCCATTGTGTAAACATCCTGACTCAATGCTACTATCAAAAAAGATGTTTGAGCATCTCAGCCAGCTTGACACAGCAAAATTGTCTCAACTAATGGCATGAGTTCTTGACCAATGGCAAAACCTGTTTGAAAACAGTCACTGCGTTTGCAGTTCACTTTGGTGATGCTATTACCACCATAGAAATTACACACTTCAGCCTTATATTTTCCCTGTCTATGAGATTGTCATCAATGCAAATAGGTAATGATCATCTCCGCTCTGTACACTTAATCATACATGAATCAAATCATCCATGAACACATGCATGCACTGTGCACATTGAGAGCAGGACTGGAAATAAATGGAGGTTATGTAATGACCCTCACACAAACCCTGACATAGTACATTCATGTTAGGATGTTCAGTGTGGAATTTAAAGATCAAGATCAAGTGTGTCAGCTGATTTCCGCTCTCCGTAGATGGAGAATGAGGTGAGCCCTGCTCCGAGGTCCAAAGCGAGATACACAGGCCAGGTCCGCCTCGGCACTGTCCGATACAGGTACTTTTCTCACCACTTTTAATTAACTAAATGCATTGTGTGCGGTTATGAAGTGAGTTAATAGGCTTCTCCAAGGACTTTTTAGTGAGAATAGAGTTTAACACTCTGCTTGAGACAGGATTAATTATACACAGTTGAGCTACCAGTGCTGAGAAACGAGGAAAGCAGGCCACGCTCGGTGTGTGTGTAGCTGTGTTCTCATTTACAGGGTCTCTACGCACTGAGTAGGGCATATCTGTAGAAGTTGTATATATGAAGTATATATGAAGAGTTCAGATGCAAAAGCCTCTAAGTGCCATCTGAAATTGAGCATTTTTTATCAGGCTGCTATATTTATGTTCAGTTATTTCACTTTAATTGCACAGAAAACGACATATACATTGCCATTAGAGTAAAATGAGTGAACTTAAACAAAGGAGCCTGATAAAAATGTTCATTGTAGATGGAAATTTCAGACGGCACTTAGAGGCTTTTGCATCTGAACTCTTCATTCATATATATGTGTGTGTGTGTGTGTTTGTATTTCACTCCTTTCTTTTTCTTTTCCTCTCGCTGTCTGGTCTTTCGGTCAGTTATAATCCCTATGATGGACCTAATGAGCATCCAGAAGCAGAGCTTCCTCTTGTGGCAGGGAAGTATTTGTACGTATATGGGGACATGGACGATGATGGATTTTATGAAGGTAATTGAGTTATGATACGAGAGGTGTAATTATTACTAGAGAATTAAGAATCTAAATTAAAAAAATAACAGATCTGCAATTGCCCAAAATCTAAAAAAATCCAAACAACCTATTTGCTAATGGACATAAATAATTGACGTAGACAAGTAACAGTGAATTTAATCAGTTAGCATCACCTGGCAGCATGTATTAAAATGACATGCTTACAAAATGCATCACAATTACATTTTATGTAATGAGATCTGCTGCAGCTTATGAGATCTTTCTATTTCTCTTTGTTTTAGGAGAGCTGTTGGATGGCCAGCGTGGCCTGGTTCCCTCAAATTTTGTGGAGTTTGTCCAGGACAAGGAAAAGCCATCTATCGAGGGTGGAGAGGAGCAGGGCAGGCTGGAGCAGAGCTGTCTGAGCCTGATGACCATAGATGGAGGTGCTCATCTGGACAGCCTTAGGAGCGACGCCCTCGGCCACTGCACCAACGGGACAGGTGCACTGGATGGAGAGGAGCTGGGTGACGACATTGTGCCTTACCCCAGGAAGATCAACCTGATCAAACAGCTGGCAAGAAGTGTGATAGTGGCCTGGGAAGCGCCTCTAGTGCCCCTTGGCTGGGGCAACATCAATGGCTACAATATCTTAGTGGACGGGGAAGTACGTTCCTCTGTGCCATTTGGAGGCAGGACCAAACTGCTTCTCGAGAAGCTGGAACTGGCTTCCTGCACATACCGCGTGTCAGTACAGAGCGTGACGGACAGGGGGCTCTCCGATGAGTTGCGCTGCACCTTGCTGGTGGGCCGCAATGTTGTGGTGGCACCCACCGGCTTGCGCATGGATGATATTTTACGTGACTCCGCCGAACTTTCGTGGCTTCCCAGTAATAGTAACTACGGCCATGTTGTGTACTTAGATGGTGTGGAGCATGCTGTGGTGAGGCCGTGCTCTTACAAACTGCGTTTTGTGAACCTGAAGGCCGCCACAGTGTACAAGGTAAAAGTGTTGGCCAAACCTCACCAGGTGCCCTGGCACATGCCCCTGGAACAGAGAGAGAAGAGAGAGGCTGGGGTGGAGTTCTGCACCCAAGCTGCAGGTGAAGTTCAACTCTAAAATTCGCACCATTTTTAAATGATTTGACTCCAATTTGATTCAGTTCTGATTCATTTCTCTATATTTCATTTATAAGGTGTCTCTCTGATAATGCTGTTTTTTTAAAATTATTCATTTAATGAACCGACTCAAACTACACTGTTGCGCTGATGTGTTTGATTCATTTAAAATAACCATTTTCTAATAGTCAAATGTTTGTGAATCAAACCACCGGTTCACTGTATTTTTTGGATTCACTTAAAAGAACAAGTTTATTATAGTTGTTTGTTTGTGAATCAAACTACACTGCTGCTTTGTATGTTTCTGATTCACATAAAATAAAAGAGTAACTTTTTTATGAATTGGACTGCAGTAGTTGCGCTGAATGCTTGTTTTTAGAGCCTGTGAGTGTAACTCAAAAGAAGTCGCAGTATACAGTCTTTTTATTGCATCACATTCAGTACAGACTGTGAAAACACATTCAGAGCTAAGGTAAAATCAGCAGCAGGGGAGCAACATTGCTAGTAACACTGATAAAGGGTTAGTAATGTACTTGGTACATTATAAAAATATTGATTGTAAAAGTTAAGAATAGTGCCTAAACTATACAGTTGTGTTAGTTTAGCAGAATGCAGTGACAGGAAATGCTGAACAAACAGATTTTCCCACAGCCACTGAAGATTATTTTGGGATTATAAGAATCAATGTCAGGATTTTTCAAATCTAAATTAATCAGAAAATCTGTGTTTTTACCCACTAAGACTGACACACACACATCAGACCCTAACAGCACACACAATCCTCTGAAATTAAGAATTAAAAAAAGACAGAAAACGGCTATTTTTGTTATTCTGATTAGCACAACACTCCACTTAAAATAGTCAAAGGCAACAGAAATGGGTTTAGAGAGGCTAATTGGATTAATTAATTAGCTGAAATACTCAGACTCTTGGAAGTAATGTATGCCCTCATGAGTTCAAGCAAATGAATCCAGTGGACAACAATCCTTTCTAAACATCATGTATTGAATATCAGGTGTGTTAGTGTAACTAATCGGTGGTTATCTGTCCCTCCCCAGGACCCCCTCTACCTCCTCAAGAAGTCCAGGTCCAGTGTGGACACGCCCCAGGGGTCCTCCAAGTCCGTTGGAAGCCCCCTCCAATGACAACCATGGGAACCTCCAATGGTGCAAATGTCATTGGCTATGCAGTGTGCACAAAGGGTCAGAGGGTAAGGATGCCCATGCATCAGCAGTCATATGTGGTGAGGTTTATGTGACAGAACAGTTCTTGACTGCATGAAGACTAAAGAGTCATCAAGGCCTATTTTTATCAAAAAATGATACTGATGCCCTCTGTTGGTGGAGTTGGGTGATTCTAAACACTTGAATTCAGTGTTTCTGGTGGTTTTAGGTGATGGAAGATTTTCACACCAAAGATATTTTTGTTGTTTATGTTATTTGGATGATTAATGATGAGAACATTGATTCTAAAGGTGCGGTCACATGTAGTCGCAAAAAAAAGATCCATTATCTATTGTTTCCCATTGAAATTTCTGAATTTCGCCTGCACAAATTCACTGAATAACGGTAAATGTGACGGAATCTTAATGCTAATACTAATGCTGTTTCAGATTGCTGAGGTGATGTATCCACTGGCAGACTATGTGGCAGTAGAACTGAACCGTCTCCAGTGCTTGGAGGCCCATGAGGTTATTGTCAGGACTTTATCAGCACAAGGGGAATCTCAAGACTCCCATGCCGCCGTCATTCCAAACCACCTGCTGGTGCCTCTTCTTAAAACCCTCCCTCCTTCTCACCACATGCCCCAGCAGTCCCAACCAATGCCTCCTCATCCCCAAATCCGGACCCTTCCCCCTCACCCTGGACCCCAACCACCCACCCATCTCCAACCCCTTCCCGTTCACCCCAACCAGCCCCCATCTCATCTCCATCCCCACTGTATGCCCCATCACACACAGCCCTCTCCACCCCACCTCCAGCCTTTACCACCACACCCCATTCCAATGCCTCAGCCTCAGTCGTCCATGCCAATGCCCCAACCCCAGCCACCCATGCCTATGCCTCAACCCCAACAGCCCATGGCCATGCCCCAACCACAGCCAGCCATCCCCATGCTCCATCCCCAGCCCACTATCCCGATGCCCCAGCCTCACATTCCCCAACTGCCCCTTCCCCAATCCCAAAGACCACTAAGTGCCAGAGAGCTGGAAACCAAAGAGCAAGGGCCAGGAATGCTTCATCATGGAGGGGGCCCACCTCAGCCATGGGAGCCTGGCTGCTCCCCATCTGGCCTGCCTACAGGCTTGCCACACGGACACACCCTGGATGCCCCGGCCTGCCCAAACCGCCGCTCCCCATCACCTCAAAGGATCCTCCCCCAACCCAGGGGTACGCTCATTCCTGACACTGTTGCCAAGGCTATTGCCCGAGAGGCAGCCCAAAGAGTGGCTGCAGAGAGTGGACGGGTGAGTCAAGTCAGCAAAAAGCATTAAATAAAGTAGTTGCAAACCAACCTTAACCCTAGAATGCATGATCCAAAAACTTACATGAACTTGGAGGTCAAAACGACCCATATCGAAGTCAGTGTTTATATATATATATGTATGTATGTTACCTGGACTTTCAATGGAGGGACAGAAAACTCTCTTAATTTTTTTTTTAAAGAAGATTAACTGATGTTTTATGGATTTGGAACTACATGAGGGTGATTAAATTATGACAATTGCCATATTTTGGGTGAACTATCCCATTAATGTAATGAAATTATTTAAGATGATATACTTATAGTATTATTAAGTTGAACGGTAAAGGTTCCCTTCACTGTTTTAATGTTTCATTTAAATGTTTCAGTAATGTTCATTTGTTCTTTTCCATTTATGTATACAGTAAAACAAAGTAATTAAATCTAACATATAGATTATTTAACAAATCTATAAATAAATCTATAAATATTTATTTTTAGATAATCTTGTGAACAGAAAAAAACTTTTGCGTTATTATTATTATTACTGTGAATTAGAATTCCATAGGAAATGCATAAATGTCATTTTGACCCCCTTTTCAAAGACTTGGGGTAGTTTTTTTTTAACTATTAATAACAAATATGCAAAATATTTGCTGAGGCTTACATACAACATTTATGAGAAATACATAAAATATAAATTAAGTCATTTTATTCAAAATATAATCAAATAATAACAGCCTAAAGGGCCAGTTTTGACCCTTATGCATTCTAGGGTTAATATGTGCAAATGAGAACAAATGAGTTAATAAACATACACACAGAAGATTAGCTATCTTGTCAGTACTTAACCTCAGCATACCTGTCAGATCTCTTTATTAAGACTTCTGAAAGTACTTTAATATATTTAGATCGAGAGGAGAAGCCAGGGCTTTCACTCTCAAAATTCAGATGAGGAAGAGGATGAGGAAAGCTATCAGGCCCACAGAAGAGGAGCATCTATGGATGACTTCCTCAGGGGCTCAGAGCTGGGCAGGCAGGTATGGCAGTTGAAGTGATTGCCTTACCATATAACAACAGGCATAAGAGGCAAATGTCAGCGTTGAATGCTTAGGTTTGTTGTATTAGCTTGTGTATTTGTTTTCTCTCACAATCTGCATTTCACAGTCTCATTACAGTCACAGCGAAGAGTATCATACAGAGAGCAGTCGAGGCTCGGACCTCTCAGACATCATGGAAGAGGACGAGGAGGAGTTGTATTCTGAAATGCAGCATGAAGAAGGCAGGCGACGAAACTCCCACAATGCACCCAAGGTATTTCAAAAAGGGAAAGACCTCTCACAATACTCCAGTGACATCTTGATTTGCATGGCTTTAACTAGTTTGATTTCTTCCCGATTCAAGACCGGAGCCAGCACTCCATCTTCGAGTCAGCTGGATCGGGAATCATACCGGAAGCCATCTCACCGAGAACCTCAACCTCAGCGCCGACCCCTCACGGTCCCATCCATTGGTCAGTGCTCTCCCAGTAAGAGACAGGAGTCTGAGACTTGCGTTCAGGGCCTGTCTGTCCTCCTGCTCCACATTTTCTCAGTTTGAACTGTTCATAAGCTTGTCAATGTGTGCCAGACCACCACTGTATGTTCCAACCATAACCCTATCCTGTTGCTTTCAATCATTATAACCCTCTCTGAATCTTTAAATGGATGAAAATAGAGATGCCAGAGTAGTTAGGCGTCTCCAGCCTGGCAGGTTGACGCAGACCAGCCTTCGCATGGTATAACGACTCTCTGATTGGTGTTTCCCTCAGAGATAACCACTGAGAGTAACAGTGAAGGGAACCTCTCTCCCGTCAAGGAGGATGTTTACTATGGCAGTGTAGCACGACACAGGACATGGTCCTCCCGAAGGCACGGGGGACGCAGGCCTCCTTATGGTACGTGCATTTAGAGTGAGGTCCGAAAAGAAAGAAAATGGCCAAACGCATGAAACTGCACTGGACTGCACCGAGATGGAAGTTTGTGTTGGAAGTGGTGCTGTAAGATAGCCAATAGTGACATGTTTGCACAGAGAATGCTCCTCCCCCTTTGCACTGCCCCACCGATGGATGTCTCTTTCAACCTGACCACAATCATACTTTTACTTTGGCCATGCATGACTGAATGGTTAAAGTTAAAGGGCGGCATCTCACACCGAACGAATGCCACCGAATATGTATGTAGGTAACGGTTGACCAGGAAGAGAACGCAAACGGTTCCTTGGCATTGACTGCAAAGGCAACTGTGTGGAATGCACATTGGGCATGTTGGAGTCACAATTGAGTACAGCTTCGTAGATGCGGCAGGGACAAAACGAAACGGGTGTAGTTTTATTCGGGCTAATGTGCCCCATCTGATGGGTCTTTCTCAGATCCAGATCTCTGCATGGTTACAGTAGCTCAGACTGCGTGTGCTCCCCCTCTTTTTTTCTCTCTCTCTCTGTGTCTGTGTGTGCGCCTGTCTGGAGCTTCATGTTTGGCTTGCTGCTCATCTGTATCTGGCTGCCATATGGGTGTTTCACTCCCAATCACCACACACCCACACACACTGGCAAGCACAAACAGTGACACACATCATAACCATCATATTACTGTAAGAAATGTCTGTTTTCTTCAACCCACCCAAGATGTGTTTGGCAAATAAATGGATTGTGCAAGTATGGAGAGGAATTTCACTTCATTGGAATGAATTGCATGCTTATTCATATTTTCTGTTGTAATATACAGAGATGATAACATGTATGCTGTTAATTACTTGCTTTAGTAAATCCTCTGGTTGTTTGTATGCTCATCTTTAAAAAGTTTTGAATGCTTGTACCTTAAAGACATGCATATTGTATATTGTTTTGTATACCAGGACAATTGGACAGCCATTTTTGCGTAGTTGACAACAATATTCTTTTTGAAAGAAAGAAATGTATACTTTTGTTTAGCAAGGGTGCATTAAATTGATCAAAAGTGACAGTAAAGATGTTTGTTACTAAAGATTTCTATTTCAAATAAACACTGTTCTTTTGAACTTCCTATTTATTTCCAAAGTTATCACAGTTTTCACAAAAATATTAAGCAACAGAACTATTTTCAAGTAGTCATGTGATATTAAAAACTGAAGTAATGGCTGCTGAAAATGTAGCTTTGCATCAGAGGAATACATTACATTTTAAAGTATATAATAAAATTGAAAACGGTTTCAATTCTAATAATTTTAAGCAATTTTACTGCCCCAAAACATTACTGCTCTTGAGGAATGGGCCAAAATACCAGCAACCGTGTGTGAAAACCTTGTGAAGACTTACAGAAAACGTTTGACCTCTGTCATTGCCAACAAAGGGTATATTATAACAAAGTATTGAGATGAAATTTTGTTATTGACCAAATACTTATTTTCTACCATAATTTGCAAATAAATTCTTTAAAAATCCTACAATGTGATTTTCTGGATTTTTTTTCTCATTTTGTCTCTCATAGTTGAGGTATACCTATGATGAAAATTACAGGCCTCTCTCATCTTTTTAAGTGGGAGAACTTGCACAATTGGTGGCTGACTAAATCCTTTTTTTCCCCACTGTATTTGGCATGTTAATAGAAGTAGCATTTAGAGTAAATATACAATAATTATGTAAAAATATTACACTGCAGGGCTTGGCAATCCATGTCTATTAGACATCTTGGTTTTTACCCATCTTTCTCATTTTAGATGGATACCGGGACCAAAGTCGCCGCTCTCCCCCATACTATGATGAGTCTGAGCAGGAGGATCTGTTTCGAATCTTTGTGGCGCTCTTCGACTATGACCCTCTCTCCATGTCCCCTAACCCTGATGCAGCTGATGAGGAGCTCCCGTTTAAAGAGGGACAGATTATCAAGGTACCGCTCAACTGGAGTTAATGATCTGTTGTTAAATGGCCCTCCCATTGTTTCAGCATCCCTCTGTCTGTGTGTTTAAGGTGTATGGGGATAAGGATAACGATGGCTTTTATCATGGGGAGATCCGGGGCAGGTCTGGACTTATTCCCTGTAACATGGTGTCGGAAATCCGTGCTGAGGACGATGCAACCATGGAGCAGCTCATGAAACAGGGATTTCTCCCTCTCAACACTCCTGTAGACAGAATAGGTAGGTGTTTTCCATGTCACAGTTGTCTAAATGTACTATAATGACAAAAAAATGAAGATTTGCAAACTTTGTTTGCCAATGTTTTTATCTTTATGAGCTGGAAAAATATTGCTATGAAAGTGATTCCAATGATATTGTTCTTCTGTGTCATTATAGTTATAGCTATCTGGCCTTCTTTTACAGTTAGATTATTAAAATGTTATAGTTATCATCCTTCGTGTGAATGAGCCTACAAACTTTTCATTTATTTAAAAAAGAAAATCTTACTGACCCCAACTGTGAAATATGATGGTGGTATAAACAAAATATTTCTGATTTATGTGTTGCTTTCAAAAGATGTATTTTTTTACTTTGTTAGAATACACCGAATGCATGGCTACCTTTTTACCAGCAGCAAAGTTATCTACACCATGCTAACAAGTCAGATATTGTTTTGAACATAGCCTGCCTCTCTCACAGAAAAATGGACTCTCTCTCCCCAACAGAACAAAATAGGAGAGGTCGCCACCCAGTGGCCACAAGAAGAATGGTTGCCCTGTACGACTATGACCCCAGAGAGAGCTCCCCAAACGTGGATGTTGAGGTGTTAAATACACTTTCATATATGTATTTATGCACTCTCGGGTTCTCCGTCTGCTGAGTGTGCATGTCCGTATAGTTGCTGATCGTGTGCTTTCTGTGGCAGGCTGAACTGACATTCTGTGCTGGCGATATCATTGCTGTTTTCGGGGATATAGATGAAGACGGCTTCTATTATGTAAGTATCATTGTTATGCTGACTGCTCACGCTGCTTTATTCTGAGCCTGCAGCACTATTGTGTTTTGTTTTTTGTCTTTCAGGGTGAGCTTAATGGACATCGGGGCTTGGTTCCATCCAATTTTCTCGAAGAAGTGCCTGATGATGTGGAGGTCTATCTGACCGATACTCCCTCCCACCATGGCCAGGACGAGCCCAATCCAGTGCTGGCACCGCGTCCAGAGACCAAACGGGTACACCATCGCCGTTCTCAGCGCTAGGCCCTGTGTCCATTCATCCTCCGTTTGAGTTTCGGTCCACTCGCCGTCTCTGTGTTTTCTTGTGCTTGTTTGTTTTTTCGTTATGTGACCGTGGTGGTGATTTCCAGTCCAACCTTTCTTGCTCAAGGAAAGGGAGAAGCAAAGCCCACTGCAAACAGAGCCTTTTTTGAGAGCATAGAGAGACAGGTACGAACGTGACTCTATTAAGAATGCGAATGTTCGTAGAGGGTCGCCAGAGGACTGTGGAAAAGGCCAAATTCCGTTCCTGCACCGGACTATGAATAAAGCATAAAGCATTTTTGCACTGAAACACAAAACCCTACTTAACTGAAGCTTGTGAAGTCCATAGGGTCCGTGGCTCGTGATTTGTGACCCTGTTAAAAGACTGATTTGGAAACTCACGTAGTTGACGCATGCCTGTTTTTTCCAGAACAGACCTGTAGCTTTTATATAAAAGTAAACTACAGTACCCCAAATGTTGTATTTCTTTGAGGAGGCTTTGTTTCTTTTTGTATATTGCACATTGTCAAAAAACTCTATTTTTCAGATCAGTTGAACTAGCAGAACATATTACTCATCCCATCTCTTTCAGAGAGACTAAAATAATAACATTCATGATGTAATTACAATAAATCAAAATAAATGAAAAACTGAAACAAATATGTATTTTTGCTAGTGGACATTTAGTGAAGACCTATGTTTGTTCTTGTGTATGTGGTGTTGTTGTTTTTTTTCTCCTCATAATTGATGTTTTTTTGTTTTTTTTGATGATGTTGCTGCATTCTAATTTCCTTTTTTTTTCCCCACCGGCTTTGCCAAAAAAAAAAAAAAGCTGAGAAATATTGTCCATTTCCCATCCTAGCAGACTTTTGTCTTGCTAGGTAAGTTGAGCAACTGGCGATACCAGTGATCAGTCTCATGCATGGGATTTTATGCACACCCTTTATGCAGATTTTCTATGCATTTTTATGGCTAAATTATATAATTGGGATTTCCTACTATACTACCTTTATATGTTGCATTAGTTGAATATGAATGATCTGTTGTCGTCTAAAGATACATTTTGTTTTAGATTTATCTGCTTAAAGGAACACTTCAGCCCTAAATGAAAATTTGCTGAAAATGTATTTACTCAACCTCCAGCCATCCAAGATGTAGAAGAATTTGTTTCTTCATTGTAACAGATTTGGAGAAAATTTGCATTACTGTACATCACTTGCTCACCAATGGATCCTCTGAAGTGAATGGGTGCCGTCAGTCCAAACAGCTGATAAAAACATAATAATACACAAGTAATTCACACGAATCCATTCTATGAATTAACGTCTTGTGAAGCAAAAAGTTGTATATTTGTAATGAACAAATCCATCAAGACATTTTTAATGCCAACCCATACCTTTCAGCATTCCTATCCATTATATCGCTTTCTTTAGTAAAAAAGTCATCTCGTCTGAATCAGGAGATAAATATGCAGAGATCAAGCACCATTTACAAGCAAAAACAGTCCAAATTCAAGTCCAAGTTTAGAAAATCTTCTAAACAAATATTTCTGTGGATGTGAGAGGACAACAGGGGATGGACTTTTTCACTGGAGGAAGCGTTATTATGGATTATGGACTCTTTGGCCATATCTGTTCTGATGAAGGAACAAACTCGTCTTGAATAGCCTGATAGTGAGCAAATTTTCATTTCTATTTCTATTTTATTTCAAAACTATTTCTTTATTATGTTTATTCATTCAAATGTTTATCAAATTGTTTTTCAAATTTATTTTCATTTTCTATTTTCAAAAACACTTTTCTGCTTAATATGCCAATGCATTAGACTTGTATGGTATCTGCAGTTGGTTCCCGTACTGTGTGGAGTCCTTGTGCTGTTAGGTCTGTCTGTTTAGATGCTGTTTTACAATATAAAATCCCCTCACCCTTTGAGGTTTCTAACAAGGAATATTTTCACTTTTCTTATCTGTATTAGCAGGCAAGAGGAAATTTAATAAAACAGTTGAGTTAATTCAGGAACCAACCATATTATCTGCCTTTTCTCTAGAGTTCCAATCTGTGAGTAGTAATATAATTTTTGCTCTAACTTTCTTGAGATCATTTGTTTTAAACTTCAGAACATAAGCTGGACTGTTATGTGTGAGGAAGGCAGATAATAAGGCAAAAGATAAACTTGCTGTATAATATCCCACAATTTTCCCTTCCCCGTGGATGTTTCATTAGGTGCCTGTGGAAAGTACAGTGCCAGCTCCAGCCCCTGGAAGACCCGCCTCTCCCACTGTGCGTCCTATGCTTCCTGTTGGCCCAGTCAGGCCGCTGAGCCCTGCCAGGGGTCCAAGAGACCTGGCATCTAAAAAGAAAAAAGGACTGCTCTCTAAGGGGAAGAAACTGCTCAAAAAGTTCTCAAAGTAAAAGTATGAGTTTGATTTAAAATTCATATGGCTACAACAGCATACAGATTTCTCTGTCAAAAGAGAGACCGCCAATCCCCATAATTTTGTAAAAGTCTTCTGTGGTTATTTTTTGTCACAATCTAAACAGCTTTCACATTAACATGCCACGTACATATCATGAAATAGATCTAATATCCAGATGAAAAGGAATGACATATATAGACAGTGAGCTTACTAATTGGCTTTCAGAATGAAAGCATCTATTCATGCTGTGAGGTAGAGGACAAAGAGACATTATTAAAATTTAAGGAATTCCTTTTATTATAATTTCCATATTTCAAGTCAAAGTGCTGGATTTTGAATGAAATATTCAATCTCATAGATTTTCAAGTTTGGTATAGCACTTGGTGATAAAAACAGTCCAGTAAGCACTTCAAATATGGTCTGACATTGTCAGTCAAATGTAAAAACTGATATAAACCTCCAGACCATATTAAGTGCATTAGTCCGAAACACAAAAACGGACCACAATCAAAAAAAACATATTTCCATAGAAAGATAACTGACTAGGACAGTCTATGAGCAAATCCTTTTAAACATTGCTGTGGCCTTCATCTAAACTCAGTAAGTACAGTATATTACCTACATCTGATGTCTCCATACATCAGTCTTTGCCAAGTATCCTCCCTTTTGCTTGCTCTAAGATCTCCCTTTCCAGTGTCTGTCACGAGAATGACTCTGAAGTTATAAAAATACAATGGAAAGTTTCTGTGTTTGCTTTTCAATGCACAATCGGCGTGTGTTTTGGTGAATGGCTCGTGTGTGTGTGTGTGTCTCCCCCCTCTGCATCCATGTTCGTGCAACCCCTTCAAACTGAAAAGGGACAAATGTTGTTATAAACTTTTGTGATAATGTGACGTGCTGCTAATTACAAGTTGTTTCCTGTTCCTTTCTAAAGTCTATAAGGGTGGTGTGGTCTTCATAAGAAGAAATATTTAAGCAAAGATGGTCTCTTGGTGTCTCCTCAAATTTCACTTTCTATGGGCCGGTTTACACAGAATGCATTTTTGCGATAGGTTTTTATAGTTTTTCTATGTAAACATGCAACATATTTTCTCAATGTTCTCGTTTGTTTTTAAAAAGTGATGTTAGGTGAAAAGTAGTTTATCTACATGCATAGAAACACTACATTCTTTGCCGTTCCATTTTAAACGCAAGAATGTGTTCTGTGTGAATGGATTTTCACCCAAAAATGAAAATTCTGTCATTATTTAGGCTACCCACCCTCCCATCATTCCAAAGCTGTATGACTTTCTTTCTTTCGTGGAACATAAAAGAATATATTTTGAGAAATCTCACTCTCTCTCACTCTCTCTCCTTGGGCCATACAATGGAAAACTGTTCAGATGCCAACATTCTTCAAAATAGGCCTATCTTCTTTTATGTTTCGCAGAAGAAACTTCTGTCATACATGTTAGAACAACATGAGGGTGGAACTTTCATTTTTGGGTGAACAACCCTTTTGACACTGGTTTAAACAAATGGGTCATGGCTGGTTATGAGAACATCATTTATAGGCTTAAATGACATATCCTTGCTGCTGTTATCATAGGCTGTTTTTCCTGAGTCTTTGCTTGCTATGGTAGAATCAAACTCCTTGTGATAGTCTGTTTGCTGAGGACCTTATTATACATAGTGTCAGCTACCAAAATACAGGTTAAGTAATACCCTCAGGCAAAATTACCTATGATAGCTCAAGCTATAATCTAGTAGTTTACATAACATCTTGCCCCTCAACTGGAAATGCGAGGTTGGGCCAGCATCTGGTGGCATTTTACAATAATGTGGCCAGTTGGATTGAGATTGCACTGTTGAATGGTCTGATCCAGGGTAAACACTGTGTGTGTTTGACTTTTTTTTTTTTTTTTTTAAATCTTTAAAAAAGATGATCTTAAAAGTATTATATATTTAAGCATTTTAATGAAAAAATATATAACATTAATTTAGGATGAATGGAGTTTATTTCTTGTAGAAGAAAAACATGGAAGGTTCTAATAAAAAAAAAAAAAGGTTGGATAGCCAAAAAGGAATGTATGAAATGTTCAGCTGCCTGTATAGCTTGCAACATCATTTTGCCAAAAGAAAAATAAATAAAAGAGATTACATATATTTTGAGTTAAAATAAATCTCTATCTCTGTTTTCATGAATCCCGAGTATTCGTTTGTGACTGGACGTTATGTGTTCATTACTTGGTTACTCTTTTGTACTCCATTTGTAGATAATTTATAAATGTTTATACTTAATTTACAGATTTTCAGACTTTTTTAGTGCTTTAAGATTTAATATTCAACAGTGTAAGTGTTCTCCATGGTGTCTTCAAGAAAAGATGCTCAAGTCAGCAATTCTGTGATTGCTCTGTGAATTAAAAAGAAAAAATGACTTGTTGGTCTATATTTACTGATATGGACTATTGTGTGACTGTGCATGTGTAGAACTGTGTAAAATATAAATTTTCTATGAAAATAAAGATCAGACTTGAAATTTTCATGGCAAATCACATAGCATGTCTCCTAACAGCAAACACCACAGTAGATGGCAGCAGTGACCTCAGTATCTCAGTACTTCTCACTTCAGGCATAATGGGTAAGGTGAGTGAATTAATATTGCTGTGTTGTGGATGAAGGGTGCACTTTTCTCAACTCTGTCAGGATGTTCCAAGAGCTGCATTTATCACATTTAATGATGGGTTCCCACCGGGCAGTAGAATTGTTGATTATTTGTAGATATTGTGACTGCTGTGTCTTATAATGATCTACTTGAAAAAAGAATAGAGCAGCACATTCTAAAATTATAATTATCTGCCATAATCATCCTGCCTTTTTGTATCAGGCATTAGAAATTCAAAGCGCTTAAAGGGGGGGGGGGGGGTCTGTCAAGCTTCAAAATGGCAACAATAAATAAATAAAATAAAACAAAAACACTGTAAAAGTACAGTCCATTTGACTTGTCTTCTGAAATCATATAATGACTTTGTGGAACCAAAATTGAAAAAGAAACTTAAATTATATAAATAATATCAATTGAATCTTGAATCTTGCATGTAAACTAACCAAATAAGTGTAAATTTTAAATTCTGAACATAGGCAAGAGCTGACCTTTCTGAAGGTTAACATTTTCATGAATAATGGCAAAAATTCTGCCTTTTTTTGAATTTTACTTTAAAAAAATATATACTTATTTTTTGGTGAATTGAACTGTTGTTATATGGTAAGAGCTGGATAACAATTATTAAAAAATTTCTACCCTTTGTGTACCATTGAAAAATAACCGCTTTGAGGTTTGGAATCAACATGAAGGTAATAAAATAATGACAGAACTATTTTATTTTTTGGTGAATTTAATTATTGTATGGCAAGAGCTGTATAACAATTCTTCGAAATGTTCTAATTTTGCGTTCCATGGAAAAAAAATAACCACTTTGAGGTTTGGAAACATGAGGGTGAGGGTGAAAAAATAATGACAGAACTCTAATTTCTGGGTGAAGTTTCCCTTTAAAAAGGCCGCTGAGAGAAAAGGAAGTGCTTGAGTCTGCTGCAGAGGTTTCAGTGGAATAGGTTGTACTGAAATGCAAGAGGATGAAGTGTGGGCCAGCCCTGCCTAGAGAAAAAAAAGGAGGAGAGCGAGAAATTATTATGCTCATATATCACAGTGCTAGGCTTCTCTTGCTCTTGGCTCGGCTCTCCTTCCATTCAGGAGTGAGCAGTAACGATCCCGGGGGGCCCTGGGCCAATGGATGTTTAAAATTCTCTCCAGCTTTGACCTCTCGATCAACGCCTTCTTTTAACAAGGGCCCTGAGCGGGGACACGGGTGCCCATTCATCTTCCTGCTGCTTTTCGTGAATATTTCAGAGGCTGTAAAGCAGCTCCTTTTCAGAGAGCAGTGTCTTACTGACCCCTGAATGACAGGTGTGTTCAATAGCAGGTAACTCATCGGATGGGTCAGGGTTGGACACAATGGCACACATTTGTCATCGTCTTCATGAATATGTTTTGACTGAGATGGGAGAGTCTCCTTAAATGAACCTCAGTGTCCATGCTGAGACTCCCTAGTAATACTGAATACTGGCACACTGAAGCATTGCTTGAGGCTTCGTCTGCAGTTAATGTCCACCACTCGCTGCTATCATAGGCTTTCAGCTCCACTTTAAAGGAAGACTTCTCCCTCGTTCCACCTAAGATCTGAGCAGGAATTTGCAAGGTTGACTTTCAGCAAATTTATAGTAATTGAAGCGAACCAAGCACACGACCCCTCCTCTTCCCGAGGGAAGGTGTAGAATGACATTGCAGGTTTGCAGTAACTTATCTCTCCATCATGTAGGGAGCAGAGTGATATACATCCACGACACGCACTGCAGAGCACATTCATTCATCACCTGCATAGAAATTCAGCTCACACTGAGCGAGAGCGCCTCTGCTCAACTTTATCCATAGATCAATGTCTCAAAGGCTTTGAATGAGGCTCCCAAACTCTCCCTTACTACTTTTCCAAAGGGTTCCCACTGCTCAGATTGACGGAAGCCTATGCCTTTGTTTGCTAAAAGTGATACATTTGCTGTTTTATGACTTCAGCTCTGACATTGCCCTCCAACTTTGGTGAATTTTTAACAATTGTGAGTTTGTTAGCATAGCATTGACACTGCAAACATGCAACATGCTTTTTCTTAAATAGGCAGAGTAACAGTTTTACAGAATTTTTCTATAGTGAATAATATTAATATAAAAAGAGCACATTTTCTTCATCATACAGCATATTGGTGGCGACATCTCAGATTCTGATTTATGTGTGAAGGGTGATCTAATCATTTTGCGGCATGGGGACAGTCATGTGGTTGGTGAGATTGAGATACATGTGGTCATCGTGATATATTTCATTCTCTAAGTAGGTTTACTGTCATTCTTTGTTACTGTGGCAACCTATCATCACATGATCCTCATCAAGAAGAAAAGCTCAAGTAAATTGTAGTGTAGCTGATGTGCTGTGCTCACATGAAACAAAATTCTTAATGGAATAGGTTGTCAAAATGGGTCAGACTCATTGACGGGACAGTTTACTGACCACCATTTCATATTATTGCTACTAAGCTGTTGTTCACCTTTGAGGATTACAGTTCACGGCCATAGTCTGTCACACTGCTAACATCTGGACATCTGAGCAGATGGGACTGAAATGATAATGGTATGTAAACTGGGCCATGGGGGAAAATTCATTTTCAAAAGCACTCATGTTTGTTTCCAGCAAAGGCATTACAATTGGAGGGATCTGCTAGCAGCCGATTTGATTAAGATGAAATGCATAGCTGCATCTTGAGATTCACAACCGAAATTCATTATATCATTTGCATAAGTTCTCTTACCTTTGTACTAACTTTTACAACCACCTTGCTCTTACACAACATTTGGCATGAGTGGCCTTTTGATTTATTCTTTGCATTAACGGTTGGTACTGTGTGTGTCCTTGCAGAGGAATTTGTGGCACTATCAAAGAGCAGGACATAAAATCCTGCTTCGTACTGACAAAAGACACCATCAAGCACTACAGAGCATCAAAGGTACAGGTCATACTGTGTGTACTGAATGACAGGAGATTGATGACGCTCCCTTTAGTGAGATCTGATTTAGTCAGAAATCACAGAGAGTTTAGTAATTCACACTGACTCTGAATATAAAGTGAAAAGCTAAAGTATATCTCTTGGGGAATATATAACCTAACATGTCATAATGATGCATTGACTTCTACCAAAGATATTTCAATATGTGACTAAAGCTATATGAGAAATAGTTGCCATCGATAAGTGTTGCCTCAAGGGCTATATATCAGTGACTACTCACAGCATATGTATGTTGGATTAAAAAATCTAGTTCAAAACTCTCATAAATTTTGTGTAGGCCTATAGTTGTTGCAATAGCTGTATAAAAAATGGATTAAAAAACAAAAATTTGACACCTTCGCCTATTTTAAATGTTCAAAATTGATTAACTAATAGTTTTGAGTCAAAAACTGTTATTTTTTCAAAAGGGTCTTCAGTTCTATCTATAAAATGGTGCTAATGTATTCTCTGTCATGTTATTGATTCCATCGAAATATTCGTGTGGCCTTCTGTCAAGGTCCCTTTTTAGGGCGTATGGCCTGATGAGCGCGAACGTGACATCAAGGTAGGGCGTGTCTATTGGTGTTGTCTAACTTGTGTATAATAATTAATCGGCAACATTGACAAGTATATTTAAAATAACCAAAATAGCTCATCATTGTAAAACCTGAAGTCACAGTAGTAATGAGAAAGCCACGACAAACGTGACGGATTGGCAAGGCTGTTTCATTGTTGCTTACCCTCATGTAGTGTGTAAAATGCCCTGTCACTGCAAACGAGTGTTAACTGTAAATTTACCTCAGGGCAAAACAATGGAAATGTTAAGATTTAAGGTATGTGCCCACAGTGTACATCAATTGAATTTCACTGGAGTAAAAAGTATTGAATTGCCTCGCCACAATTAGCAAAAGAACACATCCTTTATTTTGATGAACAACTCAAAGCAAACTTTAACTTTTTATGTCACGCTGGCCTGTCTTTTTTTTTGTAAATGTCCAGTTTTTCTGTGTGCAGCTGAAGTGTAGTTCCAGACAAATTTGCTTTTGGTTAGGAAAGTTTGTCCGTCAACAGGGGACGCTTGCGCACTCCTCTGAAGTGTTTGGAAGCTACATAACACAACTTCAACTATAGTTGAAGAACTATACGGACACAAAGGTCAAGTAAAAAAAAAAACTTATACACTTACAGTTACGCAACCCTATTATTACCATACTACAATTGACAATTTTTACATATTCCTGCACGTGTTTACCATTAAGTAACGTTAGCCTATGTATTGCAAAGACTGTTATTTGTTTGAAATGAAATCGTCTCTCGCTCGTTTAAGTGTCATCTTTTAAGTTAATATCACTGATATTGCTGGTTGTCTGTCCATATGACAGAAGAGCAGTGACAGGCGAGATTGAGAGGCTTCATGACAACATAAAGCGCATGTATTTCATTTGCTGAGGATTATGCTTGTGACATCTAATCGTTCAGACTCAGATGAATGCGAGGTCCAGAAACAGCAGCACCTGAATCGGAACAGCGCTTAGTTTGACATTTTACGTGCATTTTTTTCCAGACTCATAAGTGATCGAGTTTGTGCTTGCTGTCTACCATGACAACAGTTTTTACTTTTCCTGTCATATGAGGGCACCATGTTCATTTTCTTTCTTGGAAATTTATTTTAAAGCTCATATTATTATTTTTCTGCTTTTTGCTGATATATTTCTATGCATTAGAGAAATAAAGTAATTTACGCTACGTTTTGGACTTGTTTTTACAAACGAGCACAATGTTGCTGATGTTTCTAGCGTTGTGCCTATCCTGTGCAGAAGGTAAGACATTCCTCTCATATCCGTCATTTCCTACTGTTGGACATTTCTTTTTAATTTCATATAAATTCTGTATAATTTAATATAATATCTTGCATCAGATTATTCAGGTAGAGATGGATTTCACTGCAGTTGTTTGGCCACATTGTCTTCTCATTTATCATTCATAATCTACAGTATGAGTGTATGAGCTGAAAGTCCTGTGAATATGTTTGCATTAATATCAGTTATTTGCATATTTAAATTGTAACCTGAGTTGTGAACTTTATTGGAAGTAACTTTTTGTAAGTGCACTTAAGCGAGCATCATTAATATAAATGTTTCTTTGGATTCATATGGCTATTAATATAGATTTGCATAAAAAGTAAATTGATTTAATTAGAATTTGCTTATATAATTACCTGCAGAATGCAAATAGCTGCTTAGTTATTACTTAATTAAATGGAATTAAAACTTTTATCACAGACCATTTGAAGTCTATGCAATGGTTTTTAATAGTGAAACTGAGAGGAGAGGATTTTTCTCAAATTGTCTTGATTCACACTGAATAAAACCCTACTTGGAAAGCTCCTAATTTGAAAATGATATGCTGTGGAGTGTTTAGTAATGCCAAAAGCAGCAATTTAGAAATGAGAGAGTTTGACAAATAGGCTTGTCATCAGTGCAGAGTCTGAGTGCTAGTTTGAGCTGTGCAAACTCAGTCACGTTTGGCCTAATGTTCTTAGACACTACACAGACAGTAGTCCATTTTCCCCCTCAGGCTCAGACATTAACCTACTTTGAGACATAATTTTCACACATGAGATTCCCAGTCTGAGATGCAAATATATTGTTTATTTGACTAACCAGGATCCCAGTAGGACAAAATCATCACATTGATTAGTGCTCTGTAGCTTGATAGACGGAGATAACCTGTGTAACAGACTGGAAATTAAAGCTCAAACATAAAAAAGCATTAGTTTAAGAGTATTTCTTTTTTGACTGGACTTGTATGTCAATTAGATATGCTACTGTATAGTATACCTAAAACATAAATGAAGATAGATTTTAAAACATACAGAAGTGAGGGACGGAATTCTGTATAATATAATTTTATTTCTTCCCAATTATCTTCTCTAAGAACTAGGTTTATAATGCTTAAAATGTCCCATTGTGGACTCTGCTCACTGCCTTAACCGTATTTAGACATGTTCTTTTTTTTATTGGAAGTTGATCATCTTCAATTGTTGTCCAGGGAGTTGTGCATGAGAGATTTTATACTCTGCTTACAGTGTCTGCATAAAACTAAGAAACTATTCCAGGTACACATATCAGGTGTGCAAGATCAAATGCAGCAGATAAAACCACCTTGTAAGCTAAAAAAAAAACCTACAAAAGCTTTTATTTAGAAGCTAACAAGTGCAAAAACGGAATTGCTCTCTCTGATTACCTCTTTGTCAGCCTTTAGTCATTTTTATCACTGAACATTTTAATTTGCACTTTTTGGCATGTAGATAAAATATTTTATAGTTTATTATATTACATATTTTTATTAATATAGTGTGCAGGCTTTTCTGTCTTTTAGAAAAAGATGAAAAAATGATGGCTACAAAATGGGGTCTCTTTGACTATGATCTGTCCTGTGACAGATGGGTTTGACTCAACTCTGCTTAGATGAAAAGAAAATGGAGTGTGAAAAATCAGATCAATTAAAAATTCAATCAAAAAGCTCTGAAACCATTTTTTTTCATCGAAGCTGGCCTCTAGTATAGTATAGTATACCCTATATAATGCAAACACAACATGTGTAAAAAAAAAAAAAAAACTCATTCTGATTCTGTATTATTTCAGTAAAACGTATATTTAAATATAAACAAATATAATCAAGATTTTTCTCTAGCTGTTGTTGCCTCACTTGAAGGATTTACTTTTAGGAATAGCAATCACAATCACGTATCAGTATGACATATGGACCAGCATTTGACAAACTCCTTCAAAAACGCACAGCATGTCAAGATCAACCTTCAGCTTTTCAATGCTGCACTTTAGCAATCAGAAGGCAATGTAGCCCTTGCAGCCTGTCAGAAGGTAAAGGTTAAAGCATCTCTCCCAGATGAGTGATTTGACAAGCTGCTTGTCCGGACACAGTAGACCTGATCAGAGTGATGTTGACTATTTTTGCCTCCCCCTGTGTTACTTTATTCCAAATCATCCAGCACCAAGAGGGGAAATGTTGTATTTTGTGCTATTGAAGTAGCAAAAACATTTTGTGGACTTGACATCTATGGAAATGTTTTCTGAAAAGATTATAGACTAGCACATAGGGGAGAGGCTCAAACGACAACAGAATGATGGGTTTTTGCTGACAGGTTTAGACCAATCATTATTATTATTTGTATTTTTTTACTCTGACTTTGAATGAGGAAGGAATGCCATCTAGCAAATGACTTCTCTGAAATACAACTCTGCAGTGGTATAGCTGTCTAGAACATAAAACACATTTTTTGATAGCATATTTACCAAGCATAATGTTCTGTGAAAGTAACTTTGCCTTTACAGTGTTTTTGAATGAAAGGTTTTATTAGTACAGATTCCTATAGAACAGTCATTTACAACTAGTGGGCTGTGATTCAAAAAACGCATTGGAGTTGGAGACAAGAATAAAATGCAAATATTAAAATGCAACTAATCATTTAATCATGCATACTTAGGATAGCAAGATAGATGTGCATTTATGATATCATATATGTATGTTTTGCCTAAAAGATGTATGCAATTAAACTGATTTTTTTATTCAAGTTCATCTAAAAAAGGCTCATGCCAACGTAGGTAGGTTGTGTGATATGCCCTCATCCTCCAAAACCATTAAGAAAACTATTCAAGTTATAAGAACATACAATCCCAACTACTTTATACATGGCCTTAAATGCAGTGAAGATAAACTCAGTGTTTTTGTGCAGTGCATTATTGGCTGCCAAGAGCATAAAATCATTGAAATTCAGTGTTGTATGATAAACAGTTGTGGAACTGGTGTTGGGTGTCAACTTGATGTCAGATCGGATCCCTGAAACAAAACCAGCTGAAACACACTTTGAAAATTATTTGAAAATGCACTATAGGGGGTCAGTAGGGATATGTGGTGTACAACATTTACTGGAAAATACATTAATACTTTATAATCTCTCATATCATATGGATAATCTGTTATGCTTATCTAATTTGATTAATTGTATCCTCAAGGAATGAAGGTTGTGGAGTTGTCAGATGACCCAAGATCCCTATCCCCTCTCGCTGTTCTTCCAAGTGTGAACTATCAAATCATCAATGCAGACTACCTCCTCCTCAGAGACACCAGTCAGGATGTAATGGACAACTCCAGCCTGCATTCACAAAGGCAACCTTTCATCCTCACTGGACTCAATGGCCAGCCTGCCATCAATGTCAGCTATGGTCCCATGTCTTTGGAGCAGTCTATACCACTGCATATGATCCACACTGGCCCCAGGATCAGACCATTTTTATTGGCCCGTCAAGTAAGATCGTCTACACCTGCCCTATATGTGTTGTTTTATGCAACCAGTAATAGGGATGATATGAGTGAGGGGTCAATGCAAAACATCCCAGGGCAGAACGAAGGAGGGTACCTCTGTGTTACGGCATACGCATTCTGGGAATCCAGGGAGGTCAGGAACAACTGCTCTATCTCGGCAGATGGTGGCTTCTGCTTGGTACACCTGAAGCCTGAGCCAGCGTGGTTTAACCCTGGAGGTAGCAGGTCGAGCTGGGAGCAGAGAGGTGATCAAAGAGGAAATGTTGCTGAACTTTACTACCAGATCAGACCCAGTCCCAGTGGTCAGTGTGTCCTGCAAGAGAGCAAGATAAGAAGGGGTACACAGCATGGTGAACTGGGACGGCAGCTCTATGGAACCTCTATGAAGAGGATTGGAACTGTAAACCTCCTGCGATCACATCCTGGAAACCCCACGTTTATGCGATTACGCCTCGGAGGAGCCGTCATCATCCAGACATCCTCGAAACCACTGAAGACCACAGACACCGCAACTTTCTACGTGTTCCTAACAAGTACATCGCCAGTTGAACATTTCATACTCAAGTAGGTTGAGATCATGTTTTCTTAAGATCAAGTTATTTTGCTTAAAGGGATAGTTACCCAAAAAGTATTTACTCGCCTTCATGTCGTTCCAAACCTGTATGACTCTCTTTCTTCTGAGCACAAAAGAAGATATTTTGAAAAACTGATTTTGACTGTACAGTAGAAGTCAGGTCCAAAACAAAATTTTCATTTTCGGGTGAACTGTCCCTTTAATGAGAGTGGATGCATTTTAAAGTAAATAAGATTGTTATAAAATATGGCATAAACAAGTGTCTGGTAGATCTAACCTGGCTTTCAGGCTACAATCATTTCACATGCTGCACTCTGGAAGTCTGAAAAAAAAAACTGTGCACGTAATGCAGTGCTGAGAAATTGGATTTACTCTTTTCAGGATTATATGGTTTTCTCAGATGGTTTAACAAATGTCAACTGTTTTCCTGGAAGAGACTTTGGGTCAGGCCAAAATAAGATGAAGAGGAGGTGCATTGGGGATTGAGATAACAGCGTCCCATTTGGAATAGAAGTGTGGCATGGAGCCAACAGATGTGTCAAACGCCCCAGAAGCTTAGTGCAAATTTAACAAGTATGCAACACTACAGTCATGCTACTTCATAGCCGAGAGAATGTAATGGTCCCACTCAGTGTACAGATTACCAAAATGTAATAACCTCGTGCCGGCTCAATTCACTTTTCCAACTGGAGGAGCTTCAAAGGCACTCTTCCATAAATGGCAAAATAATGGAGAAATTATTTGGCAGCATTCATTTCTTAGCATTGCATTGTTTGTGCGACTTCTCTCCACATAAATAATGCATCAACTTAATGGAGCAAGAAAACAAATACCTAATAACTACTTGAGTCCTTTGGGCAGAAGTGAACATATTACAGCGAGAGCTCTATCATACAAAACACACAGTGCAATCAGTTTTTTCTAAGTCTCAACCCACAGCAATGGAGTAAGAACATATAAATGAGTGAAATTGGATTTATAGGCATGTTTTGGACCAAAGGTATTGTTCTTTCCTGTATTGGCGAAGCTGTTATTTTGCTCATAAGTTTGTTTGAGTTTGTTTTGAAGGCAAATGAAACTGGGCGGAAAAATCGTCCCCAAGAACTGATGAAGTGAATTGTATTCTGACCCATATTGTAAGCCAATAGTCAAAATTCCAGAGTAGCTTAATTTAGATGGTATTTAGTGTGGAGATATTTTTTATTTATTTTTTAGATTTTGTCTATTCCCAAAAGTGTTTTGACTCTCTTTGGACAATACAGTTGGACTGATTTGAGACTTTGATTTGTTCTGATTATTTTGGGAAGTTGAGGAACGCTGCTTGGGATCTGAGATATACATTTGACCGGAAGCTGAGCCCCATATACCACCTGAGCCCCCAATATCCATGCGGCCCTTCACTCGGCTCTGATATGGTTTACTTTGCCCCTGCCCCTGGCTCAAATGGACATTTGCTTTCAGTGTTAGCAGTAAAGTGAGGTGAAGACTGGTATCCCAAAGAGATTGATTTTATCCAGGGAAAAATCTCTGCCCCACTTCACTACTCTCTCCAAGATTGAGTCCAGACCCTTGAGGTTATGATAGATAATCCACACACTGATTGAAAATTAGTGAAGTCTTTAACCCTTCAGAGAACTGCTCTCTTTTACCCCGAAAGGTATTTGAACTGGAGGCTGCCTAGCTCAGACACCCATTAGACATCACAAAGTGCCTTGTGCAGTGCAACATGACTAATGTGTTTTCTAATGCGTCACTAAAAAAAAAAAATCCTTTGGAAAATAACTTGTTTACATTTATTATACACCGCACAGAATACATAAATATATGGTATATATTTGTATATGTTGTGTTACATGAAGTGGTGAATATAATGAAGTGGTCATTTTTTTATGTTCTACTTAACAGATTAATAAAAATCCATATAGCTAGAAATGTTTCTTTTATGTATTTGAATAGACAAACTATTGATCCAAGCATTAGATGATAATTATTATATAACATTACTTAATAATGAATGTTTCTGTGAAACGGTTCTTTTTCTGTTTTGTTCTCTGCTAATTTTACATATTTTTCTACTTTATATTTGATAATATATTAGATTATATTTATTGTATAATAAATATATGAAAAGCATAATGGTCTATTCTGGGTTACACTTTACTTGAAGGTGTGTGCATAATACTGACATGACACCTAATGTTAATGTAATCAAAATAGTATGATTAAAATATTTTGTTTTATTTATATATTTGGACAAAATATGATCTGCATTATATAATATTTTATTTGAATATTTCTTATTAATGAATAATATGAAGTGATTCGATTCTACTGGTCATGTACGTAGATAGAATTTTTTAGTTTCATTCATATATTTGAATATACACAAACTATTAAATTCATCTGTTAATATGAACATTAATATTTCATATATAATACTACTTATTAATGTTACCATTAAAAATGACATAACTGAACGAATGACACTTAATGACAGTTGTCATAAACATGCATAAAACCTCTTTCATGTTCATGACATGTGTCATGTCATGATTATGAAGGTGTCATGTTAGTCTTATGCACACCCCTTCAAGTAAAGTGTTACCCTATTCTGCTGCTTTACAGAGTATTAATGTTAATTTAATCAAAATAGTATGATTAAAATATTTTGTTTTATTTATATATTTGGACAAAATATGATCTGCATTATATAATATTTTATTTGAATATTTCTTATTAATGAATAATATTAAGTGATTCGATTCTACTGGTCATGTACGTAGATAGAATTTTTTAGTTTCATTCATATATTTGAATACACACAAACTATTAAATTCATCTGTTAATATGAACATTAATATTTCATATATAATACTACTTATTAATGTTACAAATTCTATTCTATTCTATTCTATTCTATTCTATTCTATTCTTTATACTTCATCCTGCAGGCAGCCCCACACAGCCCCACATCAATATTCGTTTGTCTTTGATTTTGTGTCAGAGATTCATTCCATCAAGATCCTCATTATAGATTTGACTGAATTCTGTTTCCACTCATGCATACAGTGTTTCTTCCCCTGGCAGACCAAAACAGAACACACTCTCTCTCTCTCTCTCTCTCTCTCTCTCCATATTTGCATTAAAAATGACATAACTGAACGAATGACACTTAATGACAGTTGTCATAAACATGCATAAAACCTCTTTCATGTTCATGACATGTGTCATGTCATGATTATGAAGGTGTCATGTTAGTCTTATGCACACCCCTTCAAGTAAAGTGTTACCCTATTCTGCTGCTTTACAGAGTATTAATGTTAATTTAATCAAAATAGTATGATTAAAATATTTTGTTTTATTTATATATTTGGACAAAATATGATCTGCATTATATAATATTTTATTTGAATATTTCTTATTAATGAATAATATTAAGTGATTCGATTCTACTGGTCATGTACGTAGATAGAATTTTTTAGTTTCATTCATATATTTGAATACACACAAACTATTAAATTCATCTGTTAATATGAACATTAATATTTCATATATAATACTACTTATTAATGTTACAAATTCTATTCTATTCTATTCTATTCTATTCTATTCTATTCTTTATACTTCATCCTGCAGGCAGCCCCACACAGCCCCACATCAATATTCGTTTGTCTTTGATTTTGTGTCAGAGATTCATTCCATCAAGATCCTCATTATAGATTTGACTGAATTCTGTTTCCACTCATGCATACAGTGTTTCTTCCCCTGGCAGACCAAAACAGAACACACTCTCTCTCTCTCTCTCTCTCTCTCTCTCTCTCTCTCTCTCTCTCTCTGTATTGCAATTCTTTTTTCTCTCTCTTATTTTCCTCTCATGCTTTCATTGTTTCTCTTCATTTCCCTGCAATTTAAAATGTTTGGATTATCCAACTGAGGGGGCCATCTGTCTCTAAAAATTGCATGTCTGCACTGAAGATGATGACGATACAAAATGGGTCAAGACATACTCTGATCCCTCTCCCTTGAGTCCCAGGGGTTGATAGACAGACGCTGTCCCAGAGATCTACATGCGATGTGAACTGATATCAGCCCTGATATCATGTATTTCTTCTCAATACCAGATAAAAGCCCATCACCGGTGTGTTAACACATCATACATTCTGGGAAAGAATCATTAAAATGCACATCTGCATGTGTCATTTAATTGTGGTCTCATTGTGCACATTGCTAATGAAACATTTGAGATCCGCTGCATAAAAATCTGTTGTTTTTGAGGCAGAAATGCAGTTTGTGGCGTGAAACTGAGAAAAAAAAAAGATGGATGAGGGGTTGAGGAAAGATAATGTAGTGTGTCACAATGCTGTCAGCCGCGCTCATTCTACTTCTCCCACTGTGACCTGTTTCCTCTCTGGCCGTGGTTCCCAAGATGCCTGACTCCAGCACATGTCTGTGAGATTCTCACGTGGCAAGATTCCACAGTCTCTAAGTCCCATCAGTGGAGAGGAGGGACCGACGAACTGTCTGGCTGGTGGATAAAGCCGAGAGATACAGGAGAAAAAAAAAGAAGAGGAGAAAAGAAGTTTGGCTCTGTCTTTAAACTGAATGGTGGACATGTGGTTGTGTTGGCCCAAGCCAAAGGAGACAGAGAGATTAAATTCTCCATAGCGACATACTCGCTCTACACCCTTGATAAATACAACATTGTTAAATGTCCAATCGCTCTTTCTGCAATAGCGATTGAGCCAAGATTTAAAACTGGCAAGTGAAACAGGGAATTGAGAGCGATGCCGACTGACCTCAACCCATGGTTAGCACAGGTCCTACGAACAGGATTTAAAAGCTGTCAATTATATCTCCCTTCTACTGCCATTAACCAGTTTGTACATGTTGTTTGATTGTTTATTTATTTTTTTATAAATGTTCCATGAGTCAGGTTGAATGGACAGGGATGTCAGCGCAGATGGGCTTGAGATGTGTTTGTTAATTTTCTGTCCATCAGAGGACAGGTGAATGTTTTCCACCTCAACCTTTCGATGTGCAGGTCAGCGTCTTTAACACACATGCCCTCTGGCAAACATTCAGTTAGTACTGGACATTTTCATTGTATCATACATGGATGTTTACTGTGTGAGCATGTGTGTGTGTGTGTTTTTCCTTTCAGTATTGCCCAGAGGCAATGCTAAACTGGAATATTTTGGCAAATTGAGTTATTTTGTCCTTAAGTTCAAACGGTTTTATGTTTTGTTTTTTTTTATTAAATTTTATCACCAATGATTCATTCACCTTACCAGGTCATGAAAATATGATCATATTACCCCAATTTTACAGTCGCTGCACTGGCTACCTATTAAGTTCCGTATCAGTTACAAAATATTATTACTTACCTATAAGGCCCTTAATGGGTTAGCTCCTGCGTACCTAACTAGTCTTCTACAAATCTCTGGACCTTTGGTAGTACCTAGGATAGCAAAGTCCACTAAAGGAGGTAGAGCTTTTTCGAATTTGACTCCCAAACTCTGGAATAGCCTTCCTGATAACGTTCAGGGTTCAGACACACTCTCTCTGTTTAAATCTAGATTAAAGACACATCTCTTTGGCCAAGCATTCAAATAATGCATCTCATAATCTTGTGCTGCAGTTATATCTGATCAAATGCACATTATTATTCTTTAGCTTGGGTTAAACAAATCAATTTTGCTTGGTTGGAACAGCAGCTACACTAATTATGTCTCTATTTGTTTATCTGTTTTTGCCACGGGATTGACGCATTGAAAAGCGCTTTACAAATAAACTTGAATTGAATGCATTAAATTCATCAAGTGACATTTAGTAAAGTGTTAAAATATTACAAAATATTTGTCTTTCAAATAAATGCTGTTGCTATTTTGAAATTTTTTCGTTAAATTATGTATCTTGATTTCCTCAGAAATATTAAAAAGGACAACTGTTTCGAACATTGATAGTAATGAGAATGAGAGAATGTTTCTTGAGCACCAAATCAGCATATTAGAATGATTTCTAAAGGATCATGTGACACTGAAGACTGGAGTAATGGCTACTGATAATTCAGCTTTTCTGTCACATGAATAAATTACATAGAAAACTTTTTATTTTTTTTTAATTGTTAGAATATTTAACGATATTACTGTTTTTATGGTATTTTCGATTAAATAAATGCAGGCTTGTTGAGAATAAAAGACTTATTACTGACTTTATACTTGAATGGTGGTGTATATTAACTACTTGTGTAAATCCTACTAGCCGTAGCCAATAAGAGTCCAACTGACCATCTAAGCCAGCTGTTGTCATTTTTGTGTCCAATATGCTTCAAGCAGTCAGTCCTGAAGCTGAGACCTTTCCACTGATCCCATCTGTGTGTTTGTGTGTTCCTTCTCATAGAGCCACATCAAGAAAAGGCATGTCATTCAGCACAGCCAGACCCAGCGACGCACACCTGTGGGACATCACTCTGGAACCTGGCAGAGAAAGTGACACCCAAACCATCTCTGTGACCTGCCAGAAGAAAAGCACCTTTACTAGCAAAAGGCAAGCCCTCGCTGCATCACCCTCTTTGTTCTTAGAAACCACTGAACCGCAGACTCTCCGTAGTTCACATTTCAAAGGCATTTCATTGCAAAAAAGCTTTTTCTGCCCTTGCACATCACCAGCTGTGGTCTGTTACCTCTGAAACTGTGAGAATTAAATGACAGATTGCAAAATTATTTTTTTCACGGAGAAAAACATCCTTCCAAACCCCCCCCCCCAAATTGTTCAGGTACTAACAGATGTTCAGACAACCTGTTCGCCTTTTGCAGGGTGGTATTTTGAATGAAAATGAAATACCATCTTTTTCTGGTTAAAAAGGTGCAGGTTAACTGTGTTTACCCTGTACAGACACTTATAAAGCACAGACAGAGAAAAACTCGCCACTTTGCGATTTCATGATTAATGGCACAAATCAATTCCATAACATTAGGTATTTATGTGGAAAGTGACTGAAAATAACTTAATAAAAATGTGATATCTTTCCATCACCTCAGCTGCTAGTAACCACAGAAAACATACAATTCCTCCGCTGTTATTAAGAAGAATGAGCTCTGAGTTCATATTACCTATGTGCATCTAAGCTGGGGAGCGATTGGCTTGGTTTTCATATAAAGAGATTTGAGTGTTTTTGGATCCAATTCAAATGCGTCTTGAATACTGTGAACATCTTGTTAATAAGAGTCTCCATCTGGGTGTCATATTTCTCTTGGTCTCATCGGCTCTTGTTCAGTGTCCACGGCAATGGGTTGCCAATATTATTGCAGAGTATAGCATGTATCATGTACTGTAACATAATACAAGTAGCATATATATAGTTCTAGCAGCTTGTAACATGCTGTACATTAACAATAACTTTTTTTAAATATTGATTCATTATTTCATTGGATTATGACATTTAAATTTAAATAGGAGTTTTGTGGCTTTTGGTCCATGTATTTTAACTTTGAAGTCATCTAGTGTACTTGTTTGTATAAGACAAAAATATAAAAAAAAAACAGATGTACTGTTCAAATTTTGAGGTCAATAAAATATTTATATACAGTATATATACTGTATATGGTTTATAGTGTCTTTAAAATAACACTTTCACCAAGGCTGCAATTATTTGGTCAAAATACAGTGAAAACAGTAATATTGTGAAATAGTATTACAACTGTAATTAAAATTTAATTTCAGCAGCCATTACTCCAGTCTTCAGTGTCACATGATCTTTCAGAATGCATTCTAAAATGCAGATTTGGTGAAGCATTTCTTATTGTTATATTCTTATTATTATTACCAAGAAACATTTCTTATTATTATCAGTGTTGAAAACAGTTGTGCTGCGTAGTGTTTTTTGGAAACCATTATACTTTTTCAGGATTCTATGATGAATAGAAATTTCAAAAGAATAGGCTTTACTGTCTCTTTTGATCAATTTAATGAATCCTTGCTGAATAGTAAAGACAAAAAGTCTTACTGAGCCCAAACCTTTAAATAGTAATGAAGTAAAATTATTGATGACTCATCTTAAATTTAAGGGGGTCTGAATACTTTCCGTACCCACTGTATATCAGTTTTGTACAATCAAATGCTCTTAAAAATGTGAAAACTATAATAGCTCAACAATGGGAGCTGTCACCACTGCCATTAAGCAAGCTGTAGAGTATCTCCTGACTACTTCTTTTGGTGCCCTTCTTTCCATGTTTTACAGCGATGACCCATTTAATCATCCTCAGTGCATCAGTGTGTTAGACCAGCTTAAAGACCAGCACATTCCACAAGATTAGAGCAGAGATCTCCACATTTACCAGTGAAGAGCCAAATGGAAAAGTTAACGCTGTGCTGGGAAACACTTAATACAGAATAGTGATGATGGGTCATGGCTCACTTGACCTTTCACCCCTTATCCCTTAACAATGGTCTTGAAAGCAAAAATCAGTGTGAGATTGCATCATTTAAGGCTATATAGTATAAAGATTTGCAGAGTTTTGAATCAAATCTCTAAGGATCTGTCCAATCTGGAAAAGCTTTTTCTACACAGGCACTTACTTTTCTGATGCTTTCAAAGCTTCCTTTTTACGTGAGAGCTTTAGCACACCATATAGAATTGCATGAATCGTAAAAAGTTGTTTAAAAGTTTAATTTGAGCCTTTCTATTAGTTATATAAAAGCACTTTATCAAAGCAAATTCTGGCTGAAAGGCGTGGTGTGAGCTGAATCATGTTCCTGCAATGAACTTACTGATACACTCATTAGAATGCTGAGTGTTTTAATGCTACTGAAGTGGATTAGAAGCTCCATCTCTCCTGATGGCTGATTGTGCTTTCATTATTAAGATTTCACACTGTCCTCGTTGACACTGTATGTCTCTGTTGACCCAGAAAATGAATTTAAGTCACTTGTTGCAGAGATTGGTATGTGACTGTGTCCTGATGTTGTATTTACAGAGGTCTGCTGGAAGTCTTACAGTTGGACTTTGAGATGGAGGAGCAGAGTGATCAGTTAGAGAGCCAGATGATCACGTGGCGACTGGAGCTGCCTGGAAACATGATCCGGGATGAAGGAACCATGAGGATTTACATCATTCAGAGAGACTATGTGGGAATAGCACCACTGATCACGGTTGGGAATGTTTGTTTTTACTTTTGACCAACTTCCTTTGTATTATGATCATCTGGAACTATTATTTTTAAACAAATTCTGTCAATACTTCCTCAGGGACAGTTAAAAAATGTTTATGTCCTATTATATAGAAAAAACAGAGGCGTATATACAGTATACTGTATATATCTATATAAAACAATCATTGTTTGGAAAGATCTGGGTAAACATTTTTTTTTTATTCTTTTGTTTAGAAAAAAGCATAATTTTGAATGACATGAAGGTAAATAAATGACAGATTTTTCTTTTTTGAATGAACTATCCCTTTAAATTTTATAAGTTTTTTTGCGGTCACGTTTTGTAAGGATGTCTGTGAAGCATGGACATTTCAAAATGAAATTACATTGGTGTGACAAGTATTTGTCATGCTTTGAGAACAGTCCTTTTACCATAAAGCTACAATGACAGCCTTTATACATGATTTATGTGTCTTTGTTTTGTCTGTGTGTTTTTGTGAGTGTGTATATGTGTGTTAATTGTCCAGAGGCACAGTGCCACTTCTTTCGCCCTTTGATCTCTTCCTACTGTCCCCTACCATTGGTCAAACTACCGCAGAATTTACCCTGACATTCACTGACATTCATTTTATGAGGACACACACACGTAATTCCCAAAGCCATCCACATGCATCCCTTTATTACAAGCTCACCAGCAGCCATTAAAATATAATAATATAGCTTTTTATCATGTAAATGTTCAAGACAAATAAAACAAAAAGAGATTGTGACAATTCATTGATATCAAGCGTCCATTATAAAGCTAGCTGCCAGATTTGTTTACTGGAAAGGTCTATTTCACAGCATGACCCTGTCTCTAAAATAACACTGGTATAAGAGTGTTGGATTTCGCCGGTAACTTTTTAAATCACAGTCAGCATCTGTTGTGTTGCATTTGGAGGATGCTCGTGGACATCTGTTGGGTCTAGAAGTTTAATCTACTCTCAAACCTAATCATCCTAGTGTGTTCGTCATCACAGTGGCACACTGTAAGATAATCATTAGGGTATTAAACTCAGACAGAGCGAGTCTGAGCCACGATTGTTGACATGACATTTTTGACCTGTTTTAGCTTTTACTCACCACCAAACTGAGATACTTCATAGGAGCTTATTAGATGATGAGAGTGCTTGTTCTTAGTGTTAGCCTGTTTTGTTTACTGTGGGTCGTATTTCTTCCATATGTACATAACTCTGTGCTAATTAGGGATGGGACACTGTGAGATGTATTAGTGTGATAGACTAGTTAAATTTTTTTTTTTAGTTTTGATATTTTTAGTGTGGATATTTTAATTAGCGTGCTGTTTGTTTGCACAGTAAAACTCTCAGAAAAGTCTCTTTAAATTAATCTCCTTTAAAGCGCCACCACTACAGCCATACGCATTCAGATGGAAGTTTTTGGCTGCTCTATTCAGGACCCAGCAAGGATTGTTTTTCTGTCTAGTTGGGCCAGTAGTTTCGACTTTTCTACTCTGCCAAAATTAGTTTGGCCCCAACAAAAAGGGGTTTTATTTTTATGTTTAGCAAAGTATTTACTACAAATATTTGCTACAAATATTTACATTACATTGTTTTCTTTACAATTTTTTTCAACGATTATTATTATTAAAAAAATTTGTTTTAATAAAATTGATAAAACTCCATAAATTCATAAACACTTTTGTTGGAAAACACTTGCATATGATGTTAAACATTACTGATTGGTATGTAGTTTTCATCAGATTCTTATAGATGCTTTGAGTCATATTTTTGCAAATTCACACAAAAAAAAATCCTCATATGTGACCATGGACCACAAAACCAGCTATAAGGGTCAATGTTTTGAAATTGAGATTTATACTGAATAAATAAGCTTTCCATTGATATATGGTTTGTTAGGATAGGACAATATTTGGCCGAGATACAACTATTTGAAAATCAAAAATCTAGAATCTAAAATCTAAATATTGAGAAAATCGCCTTTAAAGTTGTCCAAATGAAGTCCTTAGCAATGCATATTACTAATGATAATACATTTTTGATATATTTACGGTAGGAAATTTACAAAATATCTTCAGGGAACATGATCTTTACTTAATATCCTAATGATTTTTGACATAAAAGAAAAATCGATAATTTTGACCCATACAATGTATTTTTGGCTATTGCTACAAATATACCTGTGCTACTTATGACTGGTTTTGTGGTCCAGGGTCACATATATGTTAGCCAGCTAGATCACATCATCTTGGTAAAATTCAGCAGAATATGCAACATGTAGAATACATTTAAATTTGAAACTTCTGTCCTTTTGTCTGGGCATGTCAAATTTAGTGCTAAATGAGTGTTGTTTGTTGTGCTTTTCCAGGATACAGAGCTCCTCAACACGGCCGTGCTGACTGGTAAGAGGGTTTCTGTGCCTGTGAAAGTTTTGGGAGTTGAGGCTGATGGCTCCATCACAGACATCACTAACTCATCTCACTGCAGGTCTTCAGACCAGGATGTCCTGAAGGTAATGCATGTCAAAGTCACTTTTGACAGCTTTAGCAATCTCACACTCTGTGTGCTTCCTATTAGCAGCCTTACTCTGATTCTGAATGACTTGTCTATAAGACCTGAAGAGCACTGGAGAGAGGGGTCAGGGAATTCGGTTTAGAGAACCACCACTTCCTAGTTCCTCACCTAAAAAGAAAAAAACAGAGGAGGGAGACAGACGTTGACTTGCAAGCCCTCATTGAACTTGTGTTTTTTACTTAAAGGGATAGTTCACCCAAAAATTAAAATTGTATGTTTAACTGCTTACCCCCAGGGCATCCAAGATGGGTGAACTATCCCTTTAAAGCACACCTGTCTTTTTTCACCTGTGTATTATGAAGAGCTTTAGCCCTTTGTTATTGCTGGATTGTCCTCTGGGTCAACTGGATTTGCCTCAGGAGCAAAATCTTATATCAGACACAGTACCAAAAGTAATAAAAAATGTGCTTATAATCTAACTAATTTATTCATATTACCATAAACTGCATAGGCCCAACAATATGCAAAATTATCAGCATGACATAAGTTGAATAGGATAATTTAACTAAACCCTTTACGTGATTTCATTCTCTCAGCAGGAAATAATTCACAGCACAAACCCATGTTTATCTTTTTTGCGAGGTAACCCATATTTAATGTATTCTTGCTGACCTTGTGTGACTGAGTTTGAATGGACCTTTGACTTTAATAATGAAAGATATAGAAATAATTTTCCTTTACATTTAAAAATTGATAAGCCTGCTTATTTTGCATGATTTTTATGGCACATAGTTCAGAGTCAGACCAGATCTGTGGTTTATAAATTAGTCTTCGAAGTACTGGGGGTGAATGAAACAGTGATGCAACAGTGCCCATAGATTTTCCTAATGAGATAGAACAATGTACAGTACACAGGGCTCATTACCTTACACCACACTGATGCTCATGTCTGCATTACCATAAAACATCTTTATCTTATTTACATTTATTCTTTTTGCAGGCATTTATATCCAAAGCCATGTAAAAATAAGGAATATCACACCACAAAAAAATGATCCAGTAATATAAGACTCTGCGAGTTCTGCAATACAAAGTACCAAAATTAGATATTTTGAGATTTAGGTGTCAAGAGACATCAGTGAAACTGAAGAGACTACATTTTTGGTTAAGATTTAGATTCTACCATTGAGAAACATTGAATGTGGAAGATCTAGGAAGTGATTTTGTGCCTTGCTCTGGAACCACAATGCACGACTCCCAAACTGCAGAAGTTGGGAAGGAATATTGACTTTTTTACAGAAAATTTCTGTAGTGATGTAGGCAGTTACTGTCAGCCAGTGCAGAAACACAAAGGGGCTGAATATAAGCCCAGTTGGTTTTATTAAAGACCACTTTCTTGTTTAATTGTTGATGCCCAGCCAACAAGGGTCTGCAAGGGTCTGATCTTACAGTTTTCTTATAGAATGCATCATTAAGTGGTCATAGCATTGTTACCAGTGAAGTAAAGGTAACTGAACATGGCTGGCTGTGATGATAAAGAGCTCTCTTAGGTTAGAGTTGATGTTCTTCAAACACTGGGGGATCATCTAGCGTTGTCACTGATGTAGCAGTTTTAGGTGAACCAATGTGGCTAGATGATTGCACTGATGATATGTCGCCAATATTGACACACAAACAAATTGAGCACCTGAGGAATAAGATACCCCTTTCCTCCTAAATATTATGACTGCTCTATTAAAATGTCTTTAAACCCATTCTACCTGTTAAACAACACTAAACTTAATATGCCCTTTTCACACACAGGTGTCTGAAAGGTGTGATTCTGTGTATGTTAATGGCAAGGAGACATGTGGAAGAGTGAGGATGATGGTGAACTTCACCTACAGCTACCTGAGCACACAGCTTGAGGTGAGCGTATGGATGCCTCGACTCCCCTTGCAAATGGAGATATCTGATCCAGAGCTTAGTCAGATCAAAGCCTGGAGAATTCCTGTCACAGGGAACAAAAGGTAAGAGACAAGCATATTTCCAATGACACACTGCCACAACAAGCTTCATATGGTTAAAATGTTGGTGCTTTTAGTCAGCATTTAGCCATTTGATATCCACATAGATGTTGTGGGTATAATTCAAATGTGAAGAGCTCATTTGCAAAAACCGATAACTTTTTACAAAATTAAATTTTTTTACATATTAAAAGTTTGTTTTATAGCAAAAGCAGATAACTCCACATTTCATGTTTTCCAGTTTAAAATAACACTCGTTTAATCTTTGTAATCTCTTGACAAACATTGTTGTTGTTGTGATCATAAATGGATATGATTACACGCAATACACAGAGCTTTTCCTTGCTTTTGCAAGGTTACATGAAAACGTTTCAGCTTTTATTTTCTTTTTTCGCCCTGAAGAAGATATCACAGGTTCATCAAGTTCGTCAAAATTATCCATCCTCGATCACTTTTAGTCAGCTTTGACGAAACTCCTCTCAGCTAGCACGTCTTTTCAAAGTGAAAGTAGCCTTGTCACCTGACCTGAATACAGCGCGCTGATTCGCTAAAATGGACTTATCGGCTTCTGTTCAAAAACAACAAGGGCGCTTGTCGGCTTCTGCAGTAAAATGTGGACTTGCGATGCCTTGAAAGTGGACAAAACCGGATTTTTTTGACAAAAAGTGTTTAGGGTTCAGATCGCGCTATATGTGGAGAATAATGCACGGCAATCAGCTCTTTTTTTTTTTAAAGTGCTGTTTATCGGTTTTTGCAAATGAACTATTCATGTATAATAATATTATTTTGCACTTTTAAATACATTTATCTAAATAGTGACACTTTTATACACTTTTATAAATAAACATATGTGGTTTATTTTCTTAAATTTGACTAATTGAAAAATATTTTTAATTATTAACATTTATTTAATTGTCTATGGTTTGGTTGTCAATAATATTTTTTTATTTTCAGTTCCCCAAATTAGCTCAGAACTTTTATATTTGATGTTCCACCCTCATAAGAACTTTTCCACTTAAAAACTGCTCCAAATTATTCTTGTTTCCCGACATTTTTTGACATTGCAGAGACTTTTATTATAAGGTAAAGATGAGAGATTATTATAAATAAATTATTAATATTATTATAAATAAATAAGTGTGGTTTATGTTCTTAAATTTGACAAATATTAAAATATGTTTTAATGATTAACATTAACTTTCTTTTGGGGGGGGGGGGGCTGTGTTTTACTCACCCTCAAAGCTTCCTAGGTGTATGTGAATTTCTTCTTTCAGACGAATCCAATCGGAGTTATATAAAAAAATTGTCCTGGCCCCTCAAAGCCTTTCAATGGGGGTGTTCGGTTGTCAACAGTTCAGAAGACGTGAAATAAAGTGCGAGTATCCATAATAAACGTCCCTCACATGGCTCCGGGGGGTGAATAAAGGCCTCTTGTAGCGAATCCATGCATTTTTGTAAGATAAATATCCATATTTCAAACGTAATAATCGCAGAAGACATGCAGACGGATGACGTAGGCATAGTGCGTGCGCCTCTGAGAAATGCAGGAGCAAAGTTTCCTTACTTCTTCTGCGTATGACAGTCAGCGGAAGTGAGAAAAAAAGTGTTTATTACGTTTGAAATATGGATATTTATCTTACAAAAATGCATGGATTCGCTACAGGAGGCCTTTATTCACCCCCTGCAGCCGTGTGAGGACGTTTTATTACGGATGCACGCACTTTATTTCACGTCTTCTGAACTGTTGACAACCAACACCTGCTTACCCCATTGAAAGGCTTGGAGGGGCCAGGACAATTTTTAATATAACTCCGATTGGATTCGTCTGAAAGAAGAAAGTCACATACACCCAGGATGCTTTGAGGGTGAGTAAAACACAGGCAAATTTTCATTTTTGGGTGAACTAACCCTTTAATAATATTTTAATACACAATTTATATTGTGACTTGTTCTTGAATTTTGAATCTTGTATTCCACTGTGAATTTTATTTTCAATTTTGGTTCCTAGCTCAGAACTTCTATATTTGATGTTCCACCTCATACAGACTTTTTCCACTTTAAAACTGCTCCAAGGCGTTCTTGTTAGAATAGAGAATGTGTTCCGCAGAGATATCCTGGCAGTTTTTTATGGCTTTGCAGAGACATTCGTTATAAGGTAGAGATGAGTGATTGCTGAGCATAGTCAAATAGCAGATGGTAGAAAAAACATATATTAAGAACAGGTAAGTGAGGAAAAGAGTTGTTCATCTTCTCTCCGCATGTTTCTTAGAGTGAGCTGGGACACAGAGGAAGAGGATGAGAGGAAGGGCCGAGGCTGCATGCTGCAGTATCAGCACAGTTTGATTCGAGTGCTTACAGTCTTCACCGCAGAATCGCCAGATCCAAGCAGCCCATCTCCTGCATACTTCCTTGGCGCTGATTGGCAGGTAGATGTGACGCGGCTGGTGCGCTACTTTCTGAGAGTTGGGGATACGAGCGTCGCTCGCCTGCAGGCAGGATCCGTGCTGACAGGCAAGGCTGTGGGAGTCACCACTGTGCAGGTAATGGTAAAAATGACAGAGTCGCCCGCAGATGTCAGCTTTGCACAATTCTCATTATTCATTAAGACAACAAAGTTTAGTGTGGGTTTAGTTAATATGAGTGACAATACAGACAGCACATAGATGGATTGCTTGTTTTGTGCTTGTTTTTTATTGGAAGACAAATAAATTAGAAATGATGCCATGCTGTTTTCTGTTGTGTTTTGGTTTCTGTTGATCAGGTGATGTCTCCGTTGTCGAACTCGGTTCTGGCTGAGAGGATGATCCGGGTTCTGGATGATAAAGTCAGTATTACAGAGCTGGGCGTGCAGCTGGTCTCTGGCCTTTCCCTGAACCTGCAGCTCAGCCCAGGAAGTAGCAGGGCCATCGTTGCCAAGACAACTACACAGGAGATCATACACTACCCCAAGCAGGTAATTCATGTGGCTATATGGGCTGTCAGTCTAATTAATCAAATTATAAGCTAATTAATCAAACCACAAAAAATTGCATTTATAAGAGACAAGAGAAAAGCCCCCCAAAAGATAATTCAAAGACATGACGTTAATTGTGGTTGACACATAAAAATGGAATAGAACAAGTGGCTTTCAATGTCAATGTATTGTTGTTGTTTTTTTTCCATATCATTGAACATTGAACTGGCATATAGTACAGTGCAAAGCAATCTATAGATTCATGCATTATTACCTGTGCATTGCATTTTGCACCATGAATACTGGTTTTGAAATACTGTGTGAAATTAGAAACAGTTCAACAACACAAAACTCTGTCCTGCATGAACGACTCTTTCAGTCTTTAATAAATTAAATACTTTTAATAATTATAAATAAAAAAACTTTTTTTGCATTTTTATTATTTAATTATTTTTTAAATGATTAAAGGTACTAAATTAACATTGCATTTACATTACATTGGCATTCATATTAGCTACTAAAGAAATGCATCATCCATCCAAGCTGTTTAAAAGAATCTTTAGTATCTGGTACCATTAATCACTATCTACGAGAGGCACTGACCATTAGGCGTAAGGAACAAGAGTTGTACAACGAGTACAACTATGCTCTAAATTTCTTCATATAACTGCCTGTTTCAGTGCCAGGTCTGAGTGGCATAACATGATCCAATCAATGTCAAGCTATTAGTACTCAGCGAGAGGCCTCATTCGTCTCTTGATGGGCTTTGCAAGCAGAGCTCCTAAGGCAATGAATAATGTATTTCACCCCAGAATATAGGACAGCCTGTGGTGGCGTTTGCTTATACTGTATTAGCCAACAGCTCTGGGTTATTGTGCCACAGCTTGTTACGGTACAAACTCTACACTGTGCCCTCTGGTGGTTAAGCAAATGGAGTTTTGAACACAAACAAGCCTATTGTTTGTGTTCAAACTATTTTTTTAAGCCTATCACATACTACAAGGGTGTCCAAACTCGGTTCTGGAGGGCCACTGTCCTGCAGAGTTTAGCTCCAACTTGCCTCAACACACCTGCCTGGAAGTTTCTAGTATGTCTAGTAAGACCTTGATTAGCTGTTCAGGTGTGTTTAATTAGGGTTGGAGCTAAACTCTGTAGGACAGTGGCCCTCCAGGAGCAAGATTGGACACCCCTGACATACTACATCCTGCCAAAGAGCTACTTAATATGAAATTAACATGGCCATATCATTAAGATGTAGTTCTAGCTATCATGCTAACTGGAAATTATTTCCAAGTTGACCAGCTTTGATGCTTCAAACTTGGATGAGCCTGTTATAGTGGTACATAATGTTTAAGTTGATATTTATTATTTTATACTACAGGAGGCAGTGGTTGGCTGCTGGCTAAAGTTCAGTGATGGCTCCCAGACTCCTCTTGATCTGTACGATCCCAGTGGTTATTCCCTCACCATTTCTTCACTGGACCCAAGGGTAGCATCTGTGCGGAAGATCCCAGGGTCCGTCTTTGTTGTGGTTGCTGAAGCCGAGGGACAGGGCTTACTGCTCCGAGCGGAGCTAGCTATCTGTGAGGCCTGTCAGAAATCTAAACGCAAGAGCAAACTGGCTGTGGGTGGAGGCATGGTGAAGGTAAAATTCCCACCGGATGAACAGCTTGCAGGGACTGGCAAAAAAGGAAGTGACCGGGCCAATGATGGTGAGAATGGAGACAAATGGATCCTTACATCCCCTCTGAACACACTTCAACACACAGTTATCCAAGAGAGCACCACAAATGCGATCAAAGCAGCAACCAAATCCAACTTTCAAGAAGCAATAGGAGATGGCGTATCCACAATTAAGTCAATAAACACTATGGATAAAACACTCATTACCAAGCCCATCGCAGACAGAGCACTTGTTACTGTAGGTCCCAGAAGTCCAATAAAGAATGGATATGGAAACTTGCTTGAGAATGCCAACTTCCCATTTCCACCGGAAGAACCCAAGCGAGAACCACCCCTAGTGGAGAGCGATCTGATACAGATGTTTAGTGTGTTCACAGACATAGAGGTCTGCATCTATGCATTGGTAGGACTCTCTTGCTTGGCCGTTATCACCATCTTGCTTCACTGTGCTACCAACAGTGCAAGATCACACAGCAAGAAGTCTCCGATTCAGTGCCAGGATCAGTCCGAGCACAAGCATCACTGGGTACGTCTAGGCACAGCTGCAGAGCAAAACAGAGCTGTGCCGATTGCAACTACCTCCAAGCAGGAGATGCAGGCAGCTGTGAAGATCCCGAGAGCTGTTCAGATGCAGAATAGCAGAGGCCCGGAGACAATCCAGCCGAGGGAGATCCCAGCCATTGCAGGTGAGGAGAGAACTGCCACTCTGGGGCGAAGAACCAACACGCTTCCTCCACGGCGGGATCCGATGGCTCCATTGCCTCCGATGGCTGTCAGATCAGCCACCCTGCTGGCAAGGCCTGTTCGCAGTGAACCTCTACATTCTCCCACAAGCAAAAGGAATCAAGTACAGTTTACAACCTTCGCTACTCTGGACATCAAACATCTGGCTGCTCTCAAGAACGGCCAGAACTTCAGCTGGGCCAGCCAACCAGTTGGAGGTTGTCAAGCTGCCAGTATTGGCCAGGGTGGGTTAAATGGTAAAGCCGAAAGAGTCAATCATGTACATTTTTGTAGCCCAGTGGAAGTATTTGGTCAGACACCGGAATCCAAAGATTCCCAAGGGTTTCTTCCAGAAGGTCCATGGCCTGTGGCTACACCAGTGTCAAAAGTGTGATGCAGGAAATGGTTGTTTGTACAACAGCTCTATTGGCCTCTTTCATGAAATAAGAGCAGGAATTTCGGTGTAAATTGTCCATGAATCCATTCTTATATAAACTGTTGCATTGAACTGAATTTGACAGTTTGTATAGTAATGTTTTTATGAACAATTTAACACAAAAATGTCTTTCTCATTTATGTGCATGCCTGTCTGAAAAGTTTCTCTCAATTTGATGTAAATATTTCTGCAACCTTTTTCAATATTTACTTTTCCTGCTTTTGTATATTTGTAATATTAAAATTAATTAATTAATAATATTAAAATGAGCAGAAACAGATCACAACAAATATTTAATATATATTTATAAAATCGCTGCTAATATATTATAGAAATGTGTATATTGTTTTATAATGAACCCCTTCTTGTGTTTTTAAACAGGCAAATACTGTACATGTAATTTAATTAAATGTATAAAAATGAAAAGGTGTAAAATATATCAATTACTACAAATATGTTGTACAGTATAATATTAAAGTGCCCCTATTATGGATTTTTGAAAATTACCTTTCATGCAGTGTGTAACGTAGCTGTATTTGACTAAACAGTCTGCAAAGTTGTAAAGCTGAAAGTGCATCATAAATAAAGCTATTGTCTCTCAAAACCAGTCGACTCTGAATTGAATCACGTCAACGAGTCGTTTAAATTTCAAATCCCATTTCTATGAAGTTCATATGCTACAAGTTGCCACATTTGCATAATGCCCACCTACGTCCTGCGTGGACATCCCATGAAAACTTGAACCCCCTCAAACACTGTAGCTCGTTTGTCTGGATATTAGTGATGGTGAAATTAAGCTTTGCGAAGCACCGAGGCTTTCCCCTCAACTGTATCATAAAATGGATCATTACTCAAAGCTTTTCAACAAGTTGCACAGGTGTTTGAACGTCACAGATCACGTGATTATGGCAAAACGAATTCACTGTGAGATGTTTTTTTTTTGTGTGTGTTACAAGCTTCGAAGCCTCTGTGCCGAACGTCACATCACTAGTGGATATCATATGTCGACAAGACGCTGTGCTCTGCACTGTGAAAAAGTAAATTCGGTTTATTTTCACTTCCAAAGAATGAGGCTGTGAAGAATCATCTTTACTACGATACCACAGAAGTATAATCCCCAAATTGTGCTTCCCCAATCTCCGCGAGTTCAACGCAGGATTCATATGGTTGTCCTTGAAAGATGGGTCAGTGTCCAGTTTGTTTGGACCAGTAAACACTATTGCAAGCTCACACTTGACTGAAACACAAAATAAAAGCAGCGCTGCAAAAACAGTAGCTATAGCCATGGAAAATATGTTTGCAAAACTTATTTTTTTTCCTCACAATACTTAATTTATATTTTGCAATTCTTTTATTTTTGTTTACAAAAAGCACATTTATTTTTTCTCAATACTTTCATTTTCGTTTGTAAAACTATTTTCTTTTGCAATACTTCAATTCTTTTGTTGAATATATGTGGCATTTAATTGACTCCATAGTAGACCAATCACAACAGACTGGGTCATCGGACCAATCAGAGCAGAGTAGCCTCACGCAAAGGCGCGGTTTGGAAAGATGAATCTTCGAATGTATCGTTTGAGAGTAGTTGAGAAAGAAGGTAAATTTAAATGCATATTATAAGAAAATTAAAGTGTTTTTTGACCTTTTTATGCATGTAAACCTGTTGATGTGGACTCTCAAAACCAAATTATAACCATTTCAAATAGCATAATATGGGCACTTTAAGCTTATTTTATATTAAAGTTAATATTAAATGATAAATTACATTTCTTCTTCTGAACTGTAACTACACTGCAAATAATAGCCCCAGTTTTCAATATCAACTATTGATTTTCTGCTTTTATGAATTTATCAAATAAAGTGTCTGATTGTGTACATTTCTATTGTTGTAGTGGTCCTTAATGACACATTGTTTTGTGCCCATCGTATCACATCCTTTATTTATGTTAACACTGATGCATAGTGGCTCTGGTTCCTCTTATTATTAATATGTGTATTCATCCATTTTATCACTGCAGCAGTACAGCTTATAATGTTCCACATGCCTCCTGATTGTTTCCTGGTTCAGAGGCCTTTATCTAGTCTTTGACCCATGCTCTGGTTCAGCTCATCAGTGACAGCTTGGAGTATAAAGAAGGAAATCTCTGCAGCAAACAAACCGCTCTGTTTTATTATGATGCCACCAACCCTAGCTTTGCAATGACTGCCATCGCCCTTCGCCTCAAAAAAAAAAAAACCTCTCTGAGTAAGCACTGCTTGAAATCTTGAAATTGCATTCTCCTCATTGCATGTGAAGAAATAGGTTGGACTAGACCAGATAATCTGATGTGTTGCACCTCAGGACTGTTGTAGGATTTCATCTCCAAAACAGCCCCAAGTTTCTTCTGCAGTAGTGAACAGTGATGTATGAAATACACTGCCAAACATGTTGCTTTTGTGTAAAAACTTCCTTTAAGAATTTTGGATTTTTTAAAATTTCATTTCACAACACAATTTGCATTTAACATGTATTCTAGTATAAAGCATGCCAAACTGAATTGTTTTAATATAGGAGTGAACCCACTAAAATGGGTTGCAATTCTGTGCTGATGGGATCTTAGTGTAGAGAAGTATTTTTAGTGTATATTATAGGGAGGGAGGAAAGTATAAAAGTATATTATAAAGTATAAGTAGGGAGGAAAACCCCATATCTTTTTTTTGTCAGTGTTAATATACATTTGTCATGTACCATGTGTTAGGCTGGTAAATCACACTATGCTCTTTAAATATTGTCAGTTTTCCTACTTAGTACTTAATAATTTTGTTGTTTTGTTGGGTCTTTTCATCTCATGACAATATTATTATTTTATGTTTGGTTTTAAATCAAATATGAAATGCATTAAGACTTTTTTTTTTACGTTTTACTTTTTGTGGTACTTGAGTCACAACTACTAGTCCAGTGTAAAATATGACACATAACCAGTTTGAGGATCACTGCTATACTGTAGATTTTGATGGAGGTGAATTATTTCCAGAAAAGGGGAAAGTCATGCACCAAGTCTGCTCATCGTCTAGTTCCTAACTACTTAAGAATTTTAGAATAATATGTGAATTTTTCCAGTAATAGGATAAGCATAGCACAAAGAAATACATATTCATGTGTAGGATGTTTTAAATAACAGCTACGTCTGTGCTATCATTACAACAGTCACCTCCGGAGTGTCGGATATTCTATTGACAGATTTACAGGATTGAGGTCATTGTGTTTCTGGATTATGCATTAGTTGATCTCTGCCCCCATGTGGGCCAAACATGGTGAATCTGCTCTCAACTCCTTTCACTTCTGGCTTGTATGTAATTGTGGTCAAATGTAGTATGTTTAGCCAGTGTGTCTGCACTTTTTCAAGTACATTTCAAAGAGTTTATTTATTTACTTGAGAGGGTGTATGTTATAGGACAACTTTTGTTTTCTATAGTAAGCTGGATTTTCTCATAGATTTAATAATAGATATAATCTTTTGCAAGTCCAAAGACAGAAAAATATATAAATGATATAAAAGATATAAATATCTTTTCAGTGTTAGCTGAAGGCTTTTACCACTGCATGATAAGACCATGACCACAAAAAACAAAACAAAAAACAGTGGTTGTAAACATTCCTTCCTCACTTCACACTTCATCAGTGTCTGCTGGAACCAACACTGACAATCCGATGAACAAGTGCAAAAGCACTGAGAGTGGAGGACTTGGCATCCTCTTACAGAGGAACTGTGATGAAAGCAGGCGCAATGGTGAGCTTCCACGACTTGATGAGGGAGGATAGCAATAGTGAGGCAGTGCTGAATGACGGTTAGTGGGATATCAGTTATTGAAAAGAAAATGGGAGAGCATGGCCTCTCATAAAAGACTAAATTAAACTAAATGTTATGTAGTGTAGTGGATCAGGGTTGGTAACCAGAAGGTTGCTGATTTGATTGTGACTTGAGCAAAGCACTTAAAGGGTTAGTTCACCCAAAAATGAAAATTGGCTTGTGTTTTACTCACCCTCGAAGCATCCTAGGTGTATATGACTTTCTTCTTTCAGACGAATCCAGTCGGAGTTATATAAAAAATTGTCCTGGCTATTCCAAGCTCTATCATTGCAGTAAGCGGGTGTTGCAGTTGAACAGTCCACAAGTTGTCAAATAAAGCGCGCGCATTCATAATAAAATGTGCCGCAGACAGCTCTGGGTGGTGAATAAAGGCCTTCTGTAGTGAATCCATGCGTTTTTGTAAGAAAAATATCCATATTTCAAACATAATAAACACTTTTATATCACTTCCGCTGACTGTCATACATGGAAGGCGTTCCGGCGGATGACGCAGCACGTATGCGCAGCGCGTGCGCCTCTGAGATATGCTAGTCTCCGAGTTTGTTTATAGGAGCAAAGGAAGCAAAGTTTCCTTACTTTAGCAAAGGAAAGCCAGTCTCCTCTTGGCTTATATCGAAATCCTCCAACATATTTCTTTTCAAATCTTCTGTTTGTACTTCTAATTTGTGACCAGCATTTTGTTTTGTTGTCTCTCCGCGTTCGTCACTTATCACACAACGCTGATGTGCTACATCATCCGCCGGAACGGCTTCCGTGTATGACAGTTGGCGGAAGTGATATAAAAGTGTTTATTACGTTTGAAATATGGATCTTTTTCTAACAAAAACGCATGGATTCACTACAGAATGCCTTTATATGACCCCCCGGAGCCATCTGAAGCACGTTTTATTATGAATGTGCAAGCTTTATTTGACAACTTGTGGACTGTTCAACTGCAACACCCGCTGACTGCAATGATAGAGCTTGGAATAGCCAGGACAATTTTTAATATAACTCCGACTGGATTCGTCATGAAAGAAGAAAGTCATATACACCTAGAATGCTTAGAGGGTGAGTAAAACACAAGCCAATTTTCATTTTAGGGTGAACTAACCCTTTAAACCCAGGTTTCCCCTCCTCACTTTTTTAAAAATTCAGGGCTTTTACAACCTAATGGGATAACAGACCATTTAAAGTTCATGTGATATCATAGAAGCTCATTTTAAAGTTGAAGAACCTCTATAGATTGCAATAATCTGGGTCCGGAAGTAAAAATCTTATTCATTTTCTCTGTAGGGGAATTGATTTTTAATGATAGCTTATAAAATGTTAAAGACAGACCTACTGTGAGCTATGAGGTTGTTAATCAATAGTACATTTTGTTGAAGCAATCAGTCCACATTATTTCAACTTTTTT